GGAGGGGTAAGGTTAGGGGAGAGGGGAGGAGAGGGGTTAGGGGGAGCGAGGAAGGAAAGGAGGGTGGCTGGAGAGGGGAGAGAATGAAGGGAGGGAGTAATCTCTGACTAACGGTTCTGAAACCTCACTTACAAAAGCTAATCTTGATTAACAGCTTCCGGAGACTTTTGTCACAGAATTTTCTTTCTAAATTATCTGCTTTATCACCGCCTGCTAATCAAGTACCCGCTTTCTTCATGATATGCTTCAGTAGAAATACCTGCTTCCGCTGCTTCTTCATCGCTCGATGGCTCAGCCTCTGCTCCTTCCCCCCACCACCCTTCCCCTTCCCGTCCTTCCCCCAACCACAACCTCCCTTCTCCCCCGCCTTCCCCTGCCCGCTCTCGTCTCCCCCGCCCTCTTCCTTCCCCCCCGCCTCCCCATTCCCGCCCGCGGCGGCCAATGATTTTCTGCCACCTGGCGGCATCAGGAACTCCTTCTTCACGGGCGCCCGTCCGCGCGCAGCTTGCTCCTCCGCCGTCCCCCAGTTGCGCGCCTGAACCTCCCCGTTAGCAGCCTGAGGGGGAGAGAGGGAGAGAGGGGGGAGAAAGGGTGAATTGTGAATTGACTCACAAAGCTCCTCCGCCGTTCCCCAGTCGCGCGTCTGAACCTCCCCGTTAGCAGCCTGAGGGTGGAAAAGAAAGGGCGACTTGTGAATCGACTCAAAATCTCTTCCATCCCCGAATCGCACAACTGAACCTTCCCGTCAGCAGACTGCGAGGGGCAAAGAAAGGGGCAGTGAAAAAAAAGAGGGGCGGAAGGGGGGGTGGGAGAGGAGAAGGGGGAGGGCAATGGTAGGAGGAAGGTGGGGTGTGGGATGAAAGGGGGAAACAATGATAATATCAAGGGATATCCGCGTCCCGGCGCAGAGCTACCGTTTCGCACCGTTCAAATTGCACGAATAGAGGAGACGTAGGGGGAAGGAGATCGAGAGACTTGAAAGGAACACGTGAACGCAGTTGAGAGGGTTTTCGGCAATACTGTCACTGGCAGTTAATGTTACGCGATAGCTAATGCGGAAACTCCTTCTAGGCCTTGGCGGAAACTCGAATCAACGCGTCCGGAAAAAAAGCGCCAGAGAAAAAGCCGTGAGGAACGACGACGAACAACTGAGCAACGACGGACGCAGTCGCGGACGCTTGCAAGTGGGAAACCCGACATGGATAACTTGCGATGGAGAAAGATTGCGACCGGGAAAACATGATGCTCCCACCCTTCCACCGCTTTGCATAAAATAATCACCCAACCATCTCGCGAATGGCTTACCGCGTCCTCCGGCGCAGCGGCGCCATTGGTTTGAACGGTCTCCTCCACAGCCGCCATGGCTGGGGACCGTCGATTTCTAAATGCTAATTGTTAGTTACAACGCGTGCTCGCCGATCGGTCTAAGCAACGATTGCTAGTTATGAGACGTAGGAATGGGACGAGAATGGACTGGAGCAGAATTGAGCAAACGAGGGCATAGGTTTCTGCTAGGGGCTTGGTTTAGGGCTTGCCGCGATCAACGAGGGGGACGAGGTTCCTTGCTTCGCATCCTCCTCAGGTGCCCATGATCCAGTGGGTTCAGGCTTCGGTTGGGGGGCCTCCGTTATGACCTCCACGTAAATTGCTAGCTTTTCATTTTTCCCTTGACTTATTCTCTACCTAGGTGTTTTTAGAAACAATAGCTACTCGAGTACATTGCAAAAAATATACTGTAAGATCAGTTCTCGCTGGGAGCATATATTTATAGTGCTGGGTAAATGTGAGAGGAAAATTCTTGCAACATTTATTCCTTCATTAGACATGCAAATGAATCTTGCTTCAAATCCTAAACAAGGGCTATCCTCGATAATATGTCCCGCCTCCTCGATAATGCCCCGGCATCTAGATAATATGTCCCGTCTACTCCATCACTTCAGCACAGCACCAAGTACAACCCAACTCTAGAAGCCGCCAGTCCAGATTCCAGAGGCCTGTTGTGCTGTGTCACGCAGATTTAGCTCTGAGCCCCCAGACAATGGCGCTTTGCCCGCTAGCACCCGCCACGTGTCACGCCACTCAAACGCCACTAGTGTCGAGGTCGCCCCAACCTTCGGTTTCCAGTCGAAGCGCGTCATCCCTATCTTCCCCACGAATTTCAGTCTCTCGCCAATGTCGCCAGCAGCTTTCGCTACGACAACGGGCTGGGAGCAGAACTTCGGAAACCCGGAGGGCTGCTTCTGTCGTAGCGATGAGCGCGAGCCAATCGGACGCTGCCACGACAGCAGGTTCCCAGGCTAGCGATAGTGAGTGGCTGGAGGCGATGTAGCCAATACCCTAGGAGTGGCCACTCAGTGCGGAAAAGAGTGCGGGGAAGAGTGCGGGGAAGAGTGCGGGGAAGAGTGCGAGGAAGAGTGCGGGGGAGAGCGCGGGGAAGAGTGCGGGGAAGAGTGCGGGGAAGAGTGCGGGGGAGAGCGCGGGGAAGAGTGCTTGCGAGATAACACCCTTCTTATCGCCGAGCCGACTCCTACCGTTTGTCCTAGACTGCCTCGCTGCCATGGAACCCGCTAAGTACCAACTCGGCTCCCCTTCCATACACCCAGAGGACAAGGACGGCGCGCATATGCGGACCTCAAAGGCGTCGAATAACCCTCTTCGTGTCCAAGCGTAGGCACCACCCCCCACCCTCCCCCCTCGCCCACAGCCACGTGTGGTAATTCGATTTTTGAGTCGACTCGAAAATCGTCTTCGGCACCACCACCCCCCACCCTCCCCCACCCTCCACCCTCCACCCTCCCCCCTCGCCTTCAGCTACGAGCCTGGCGTCATCGGCTGCACGCTGGACAAGGACCGCCGCCCGCGCGTATGCACACCTCAAGGGCATGGGCCAATGATATAACTGCTCGCCGCGAGGGTGGTACCCTCAGCAATGTTCACATGATCGCTATCCCCTCTCGCTCGCCCTCAGCTACGAGCCTGGCCGGCGACATCGGCTCCACGCGGGACAAGGACCGCGCGTATGCAGACCTCAAGGAGCTAACATCCTGAGTTTTTGCGAACGTTATCATCCTATTACCGCAGAGGAACGAGACAGTCTGCTGCTACCACTACAACTATTATCAATCTCCCTCCCTCGCCCCTCTCCGTTCTCCCTTCTTTCCCTGCAATTCGCCTGTTGTATCCCCTCGTTCCCAGCTCCTGCTTCTGCATTTATCGGGTTGCACCATGTGGGGATATTGTGCGCGGATCTGGACAAGGCACTTGACTTTTACTGCGGCGTGCTGGGTGAGTGTGTGTGTGGGGGGTTCACTCCAAAGTCAAATGACTGTGCTTCTACTGCAGTGCCCTGGGTGAGTGTGTGGGGCGGGTTGACTCCAAAGTCAAATTTCTGTGCTTCTACTGCAGTGCGCTGGGTGAGTAGAAGAGCAGAGCATAGCAGTGAAAGTGTGACTGGTTAATGTAGAGCAGAGCAGAAGCAAATGTAGAGTAATTCAGAAAGTCTCTCAAAGACGGAAATGGCAGACAGAAACGAGTTCACCATTTGCTTCTACTCTAGAGCTATGGGCTGGGTGGGTGTGGTGGGACAACAGAGCAAGTTGCAGAGCCACGCAGGGACAACGAACATGCAATCAGCTGACATCTGAAAAGGGGTCAAGAATGGTGTGTGTATAGGGTATAGGATGTGCAAACCAGGGAGCGTGCGATGTAACTTTAACTTCCCCGCCTCCTCCTCTGCCTCCCTGTAACCTTCATCGGTTGCATTGCTTTCAACCCTGAAACAGGCCTGGAGGTGAATGATTCTCGGCCCAATCAGAAGCTTCCATATGGCGGCAAATGGTTGTGGATTGGTCAAGGGGAGGGCAGCAGGGGCGGCATGATCCACCTTATGGTGCTGCCGAATCCTGATCCGACATTTGGCAGACCGGAGCACGGCGGTCGGGACCGACACACGTGCATTGAGGTTGCTGATGTGGCACCACTACAGGCCGCCCTGGATAGAGCAGGTGACAAGCTGGCATGACTGGCATGGCACGGGATGGGATGCATTTATGCAAGGCATTGAAGAGCATGCATTGCATGGGATGGGATGCATTGCGTGGGATGGGATGCATTGCGTGGGATGGCATGCATGGCATGGGGTGAAATGGATGGCATGAGTTGGTCGTGCAGGAAGGTTGGGGAAGGGACAAAATGCGATAATCAGATGAGACAGTGAAGGGTGAAATGCGCTTTTGACAGCTAGCCTGTCATGCAGCACCTCTGTCTCCTTTCCCTTCATAAAATTTGCTCATGGAGATCTCTTGGCCTCTGTTGTTGCTTGTTTCTCCTTATTGTGTGTTGTGCTTGTGGCCAACATGCAGGAATTCCTTACACTATGAGCCAGTCAGGTCGGCCAGCTGTTTTCTGCCGTGATCCAGATGGGAATGCTTTGGAGTTTGCACAATTTTAGTTCGGAAAGTTGCATTTGCATCACAGAAACAATGACATGCGCAAAATTGTGCTTCAGTGTACATGGAACCTTTTTTTTTGGTTCATTTTTCTCATCTTTAACCAGTAAACTTGACCCTGTTCCACAGTATCAATCTAGATTTGAAAGTGCCTACTTTCACACATATGCGCAATAACTGTTTTACTATTATCATATATTTTACAGTTGTTCATCCGCGATGAACGTGATCAAACTTCGGGTTTGGTTGGAACCAAACCTAGGTCAATCTGTCAAACGCGCTGCGTTTCGACCAGCACCCAAAGTGACTGGTTCGAAGTCTCCCTTTACAGTGAGGCTGACTTGTGGCTCGAAGAGGTTTGGAAGAGCGATATGGAGGGTCCACGTTGTCCGAGCCTCTTTGTTCGAAGGCATGGTTCCCTCAGTGCTGGCTCGAGACGGCCTGCTTTTCCAAGCCAAAGCTCAGCCAAACCTCCATTTTACACCCGAAACGCGCTTGGGCTCGATCAAGGGCTGGCTTTGCCAATCGCGGTTCGGTGCCCCCTACTCCACCCCTCTTCCCAGCTTCAAATGTAGTTTTCAATAGTTCCCAGAAACAGCTATTGGTCGTTGAGGGACTTCCAGAAATCAGCAGCCAATGTGCGAAAGCCAATATTGCCTTTGCCGCAGGCTACCTGCCCAAAACAAACAAGTTACTGTATCACGGCAATGGCTCCTGCAAATTGGAAAGCTGAAGCTGGGGAATTTGTCCCGAATCGCGAATTGCATGGAACCCAAATTCGCCCCTATCGCCCCCTTTTCCACCCCTGTACCAACCCTTGTCCAAGATGTTGCCTGCCAGTTGATCTCATCACTGCTTCTTGTCCCACCGACCCAACACAACCAGCAACTTCATCTCGATCGGGCATTGCTCAACTGTCATACGGAAGTACCTCACTACCTGTTTGTGCCACGAAGCCAGTCACTCTTTCCAGTACATCGATCCTTCTTTTTACGAATCTGGTGTTAGGGGGGAATACTGCCCACCACTGCTCCCTTTCCTTTTTTTTTTTCTTCGTCTGCCGAGAAGCGATCAGAGCTTTAGGAGATTTTGAGTAAAGGCCAATCTTCAATTAACGATTTTACATTCAAACCGTGCGACGAGCGTGGCTCCTCGTCCTTTGCACCACAAGATCGTTTCTTTTGCAGTTGTACTTCCAACGAAACGATGGGTACACGGCACCAAGCGGCACTATTAGATGACAGGCGGGGCGGGCGAAACCGATTTCGTTCACCCCTTCACCTTCCCATCATCGGCGCTTCTTTTCTCATTCTGGTGATTCTCACTTCGCCAAACACAGCAGCCGCTGGAGACGGGATGCTGTTTCCTTTCAACAGAACAGCGATTGCAGACCGACTCAGTAACCCGGCTGATGCGTTTCGCCAGGCTTTCGCAGAGAAGGAACTGTCGTTCGCACGCGAAACGGAAGCACACGACGAATGGGCTAGCGAAGCAGCGCGAGAATTCGGCCAAGGATTCTCGAATGTCACACGCGGTAAAGCGGAGAAGGGAAAGGAAACGGCTTTCGCGCAAGCCCACCGCAGATCGATGCGAGTGGTGCGGGGTAAACGCGGCTGCAGTCTCACGACGGGGTCGTGGGTGCTCGACAATAACCGACCCGCGTACGACGAGAGCACGTGTCCACACCTCAAGGTACGGAATCAGACCCTTGACAAACGAAATACGCTTTTTGAGGCGCATCCACGCGGCTGCAGTCTCACGACGGGGTCGTGGGTGCACGACAATAACCGACCCGCGTGATAAGAGCACGTTTCCACACCTCAAGGTATAGAGTCAGGCTCGGTACGAACCAAAAAGGTTTCGAAGTTAGGCTCGGTACGAACCAAAAAGGTATAACACGAAGCACGGCGGCGCACAACCCCGCAGCGCACCGTTAATAGCTCCTCCCACCTCAAAGCCCTATCTCGAAGCCGTAACGTTTCTCTCTATCTCTCAAACTTTATGTCTCCCCATACCTCGTCTCCTCCCATCTCAAAGCCCCATTTCAAAGCCCTATTTCAAAGCCCTAACGTGCCTCTCTCTATCTCTCGAACTTTATGTCTCCCCATACCTCGTCTCCTCCCATCTTGCAGGAGGTCGCCACTACCACTAACTGCTTAGGCTCGCGTTATTCGCGGCCCGATCGCAACTGGATGGTGAGTGCAACTCAACGCGGTCAATCCGAGTCAACCTGGCTGGGAACCTCCGTGCCAGCAACTCATGGAAGGCCCACGAATAGGAAGTTCAGTCTCCGTCTCAGCTGAATTGTTTATCACAGCAGTCGTTGCTCCGTTGCTGAATTGTGCCCCGTCACAGCAACGTCTCTCCTCCCTTCGGTTCGCCCATCCTATTCCATCCCATCGCATTGCATCCCGTGCCGCCAGCGTTACTCGTGGAAGGCGCACGAGTGCGGCGCGCAGCCCCTTCGATTTGACGCGCGCAACTTCTTGGAGAAGATGCGAAACAAGTGAGCCCCCTTCTCCCCCTGATCCCCACTCACCCCCGTTCGCCCGCAATCGCCCTCACTCGCCAACAACTGCCCCCATGCGTCCCCAGTGCCCCCATTCGCCCCCATTCGTGCGCAATCGTTCCCCTTCTCTGGCTGTCTCCTGCAGTTGTCCGCTGTCGCACATAGTAGCTTGCCACTATCATCGAGCCTTGCAAAAGGCGCGGACGGCTTTTGGAATTCATCAGCATTCATAAGGCATCCATCAGCAAAAGCTCCCTCGAACGTACCGCGCATCATTTCAAGTACCCGCATTCGTCCCGTAACACCCCATCCCCGTTACAGGAACATCTTGTTCGCGGGAGATTCGCTAATGTGGGAGGGTTTCTTCCCGTCGTTCCTGTGCCAAGTGCACCGCGCGTCGCCCGCGCGCAAAGTGAACTACGACAGTCGCTTCAAGCAGACCACGTGGACGGTGGACGAATACAAAGTCACGCTCATCCACGTGTGGAGCCCCTTTCTCATGGACTTTAGTTCCGACTCCAAGGTACGGCATTCAGTCGCGTCGACATGCATGAACTAAGTAAGCACCCCACTCTTTTGTACGCAACCCCTCTGTTTCTCCTCTTCCTCCCCCCATCACCGTGCCCCTCCCTTCCTTTCCCCTTCCTCGCTTCCTACTCCACCTCCTCCCTTTCCCCCCCCTCGCATTCTTCTCACCCAGGTACTTAAGAGGCTTAAGGTCCAGCACCCAGCGCTCGGTGACACCGCAGTGAACCTCTTTCAACCGGACCCCAACTGGACGCTGCTGCTGCCGCACGTGCACCTGGTGCTGCTGCAGTCTGCCACCCACTGGCCGAATGCAGACAAATGGCTCCGCCGCTTCTTCACCGACCGCAAGTGGCAGCTGCTGCCGCGCCAGCCTGACACCTTTGAGGCGTACTCGTGAGTGTGCTTGTAATGGTCGTGCTTGTAAGGGTGTGCTTGTAACTGGTGAGTTTGTAACGGGTGATTTCCTCTCCTTTCTCCACCTCTCCCTCCACCACCTCCCATCCCAACCATTAGGGGTGGCATGAATGCGGTGTGGCAGCGGTAGCTGCTCAGCCACGACCCCTCCACTACATGCGCCTGGTAACCTAGACCCACCGCGCCCCACTCCTGTACACCCCTCCCCTACCTGCCACACGCCTCCTTTCATTCGTCCAGGGGCGCAATGAACGCGGTGAGGGAGAGGCTCAGCCGAAAGCCCTCCATCCCTCCACCCTTTTGACCGTACCTCACCGCACCCCACTTCCGTAAACCTCTCCTTTCATCCATCCAGGGGCGCAATGAACGCGGTGAGGGAGAGGCTCAGCCGAAAGCCCTCCACCCTTTTGACCGTACCCTACCGCACCCCACTCCCGTAAACCTCTCCTTTCATCCATCCAGGGGCGCAATGAGCGCGGTGAGGGAGAGGCTCAGCCGTAAGCCCTCCACCCCTCCATCCATCCTTCTGAGCTCACCCCACCACTCTCCACTCCTGTACACCCCTCCTTTCATCCATCTAGGGGCGCAATGAACGCGGTGAGGGAGAGGCTGAGCCGCAAGCCGTCGAGCAAAGGCGGTCGCTACGTGGCCTACTTTCTCTCGGCGCCTCCCCGCCTGGCAGGCTGCCAGAACACCGTCTCTCTCAGCCCCCCGGCGCAGGTATGCATGGACCTGCGTATGCATGGACGTGTGTATGCATGGACGTTGTAAGTGTATGAATTGCAGTACTCGTTCCATGTATGTATGTATGTGTGCATGCATGCCACGTGGCCTACTTCCTCTCGTCCTGTCTGGAAGGCTGCTGGTACACCGTCACTCCCAGCCCCCCAGGGCAGGGATATGGTATATACACTGTATGAATGAATGCAGGGATATGGTATATACACTGAATGAATGAATGCAGGGATATGGTGTACACACTGTATGAATGAATGCGGTTGCTGGCCTGAATGGCCTGATTGGGCCGATTGCTTGGACTGGTTCGACTGATCTGATCCTGCTACCCTGTGCCTCATTCCCTCCTACACCCAGGTGGCTTACCTTCGCTCCAAGAACGCACAGAGCAAGATCTGGTTCCGCACGCAGAAGCAGCTTTTCGGGCGGCGGAACTCGCGGGTGCGACTCCTTGACATCACGCACCCGTCGCTCGCGCGTGCCGACGCCATGATTGGGTCGCAGGGCAAGGCGAGCAGGGACTGCCTGCACCCGTGCCTGCCCGGGCTGCCTGACAACTGGGTTGACTTGTTTTACGCTGCCTGGATGGCAGACAAAGGCTTCTGATGCCGTGGCGTAGCTTGAGACTAGACGAAAGTGTATTGTATGTCACAAAGATCTTTTCGGTAGCATACCTGTTCAGGTTGCACAGAGTAATGTAAGTTGAAGCTTTGTAGGACAGTGTGCCGACACCATGATTGGATCACAGGGCACAACGAGCATGGACTGCCTGCACCCGTGCCTGCCGGGTCTGCCAGACAACTGGGTTGACCTCTTTTATGCGGCTTGGATGGCTGACAAAGGCTTCTGGTCTGATGGTATACGGTAGTCTTAGACTAGAGGACAGTGTAATGTATGTGATAATGAGACAGATTATTACGGTACTGTATACCGGTATTACGGTATTCAGGTTGCACCGGTTGCACCGGTTGCACCGAGTGATGTAAAGTTTAGAATGAATCGCAAGGCAGGGCGAGCATGGACTGCCTGCATCCCTGCTTGCTGCGCCTGCCTGACAACAACTGGGTTGAGCTCTTTGTGCGGCTTGGCTTGCAGACAAAGGCTTCTGATTTCCGTAGCATTCATGTACGGTAGACTGAAGGTAAGTGTAGATTTGTTTGTACGAGATAGTTGCAGTAACGTATTCAGGTTGCACAGTGAGTTGACTCACTAATTGGGTTGCATCAGGCCAGCAAAATTTGTCTCATTGGCTGTTGAATGCAGGATGGATCTGGCACCTCAGGTGGGTACAGTTGATGGCATGAATGGTCCAGCTGTTCATCACAGGCACAGCCCGATGCTAGGATAGGTTAGTATAGGAATAGTACATGGATAGGTTAGGGAGTCTGCAGTGAGGCGAGATGCTCGCTTAGTATACAAACCTAGCAAGGATACAAGAAAGAATCAAATTACTATGCGAGCAGTTTTGTCACATATATCAATAACGAGAATCTACTGGACATACCTGTCCCTTCTAAGCAGCTTTGGGCAACACCCTGATTCCAACGTGCGGGGGAACCCTCCCTCGAGCTCGTCGACGCTTCGCCAACGCCCTCATGTAACTCGGGTTCATTTCCCTCGCGAGCTCGGGGGTCCAATGGCTCCTATCCATCGCCGCATTTCGCACGATTGGCTCATCAGCATTCTCGGTGGACTGGAGAACCACCAATTTGCTGCTCTCATCATCGTCCACAGCAGTCGCCATCACCGCGGTATCTCCAAAGCTGCCATCGCTGGTACTCGCGACGCTGGCGACGGAAGCAGGATTCGTGTTTGACTTGCCCGGCTTGAACGTGTACGTGAGAATGCTTGTAATCGGTTTCTCCGCTGGCTTGGCAATGTTGAATAAATTCATGTACGACTGAAAATTCACCTGTTTCGGCCCGCCCAGCTTCGTCGGGCAGCTTCGAAACTGCGGAAACGCCTTCTTGATCGGCGATCCCTTGGTCAGGGCAAAATCCATCGCCTTGACGTTTTTGAACCCAGCTTTCGCCAGCGAAGTCGAGTAATACCGCAGCGTGTTCAGCTTCGGGACTGCCGGGAACGGCTTGCAGTTGTCCTGATAAAACACCCACTTGGTGGAATTATCGGTCATCGCCGTGACGATTTCCGCGTAATTCTCGGTTGGAAGGCCTGAGCAGCCACCGGTGACAGCAGCACCGTACTGGCTCCCCTGGTTGCAGTTGATGTTGTAAAGAGCTTTCTTGGCGCAGAAATTAGTGAGATAGGGAAAGAACTGTGAGGGAAAGGGGGGATGGGAGGGAGAGAATATGGGGGAGAGATTGAATCAACTGTCTGAAAAGTCAATGCTGTTTAGGCACAGGAACCGGCGACGTAGGGGGAGAACTGGGACGGGAAAAGGGGAATTCGCAGGTGGAGGAAGTGGGAAGAGGGGGGATGAAGCTAGGGAGGGACACGAGATGCGAAGCTTAGACATGCAAAGAGCCTGCACTTGATGACACGTGGGGCAGCCTCAATGCACGTGGGGCAAGTTGATGGTTAGGCAGGGAAACACTGGGAGTATGGAAGATGGGTCAGGGAAGGGAAGAGTGCCTCTCTCTTACCTTCTTGATCCCCGGGGTCTGGTAGTTCTTGATCAGCTCGTCGTTCCACTTCTTGCCGTTGGGCTGGTTACAGTTGTTCACGTTGTAGTTCTGGCATGAGATGTACGCTGCTGAGAACGCCGACGCGTCAATCACCACCATGCCTTGTATGTGGTTGCTGTGGGGGGGAACAGGGAGGTGTGGAAAGGGGTGGGTGGGAGGGGGAAGAGAGCAAAGGAAGGGACAAGGAGGGGGATGAGTTGGAGAAATTAGCACAGGGGGAGTTCACGTTGTAGTTCTGGCATGAGATGTATGCTGCTGAGAACGCTGACGCGGGGAAAAGGTGTGGTTGCTGTGGGGGGGAACAGGGGGGATTGGGGGAGGCGGGGGGGGGAGGGGAGGGGTTGGGGAAAGGGAGGACGGGGAAGATAGAGGAAGCTAAGGAGGGAAACTGGAAGGGGGAGAGGAATTCTTGACCACCTTGGACTCACTACCTCCCACCATTGACCAACGCTGACCCACAAAACACCATCATTGACCAGCGTTGACCAGCGTTGACTCACTATTTCCCGGTGTTAAGCTTGAGGCCGTCAGCCGTCCGATCGCACACGAGCCCATCCACGATAACTCCAGACGACACCCAGTCGAGGTACAAGCAGTGCTCGCCTCTCCGCACATAGTTACACCGCAGGATATTCCCAGGGTTCACCCAGTGCGTGTCCATGTAAATCCCCGCCGAGTCGCCGAGCGTCGAGAACGTGTGCACCATGTTGTTCCGCATCACGTTACTCAGCATCGCGTCACCCACGTTCGACTGCCCGAACCCGATCTGCAGGCTCGCAAGCGAAAACTCCGAGATGCGGTTGTTAAACACGTTCACGCCCACCGCGTTTCGATACAGCATCAGCCCGATCTCCGCGCCTTTCCCGGACGGTCCCTGCGCGATCATGTTGTTGTTCGTTATAAGCACGTTGCTGCGGATGAGGTTTGGCCCGTCGCCGGACAGCATGACGACGATCGCGCCGGGGTAATCTAACGGGTGGACGTTAACGGTCATGGAGTCGATGCGCGTGTGCGACGCGCGGGAGACTTCGATCCGGCCGAAGGTTCGTCCCTGCGTGACCTGGACCGCCCATACGCGATACAGCCAGATCGCGGGGCATTTCCACTTGCCGATGAAGTCAATGTAACGTGTTTCGAGATACTGGCAGTCGGGATTGGAAGCCAATGGTGCGAAACCTCTCACGTTGATGCCGTTAACGAGGATGTTGCTGGCGAAGACTATTCGCATGGGAGGGTAACTGGTGGTGGGAAAGGGATGGGACCGGCAGGGAGGTCGGGGACAAGGAGAGTAAATCGATTAGAAAAGTGTACTTATTTGTTGCCACTAGTGCTTTTAACGAGTTAGTGCTTTCTAGCGAGTTTGGAGACATCTCACTTCTTATCGGTGGCGGAGAGCGTGAATTTCTTGGTGCCTTTGGAGCGCAGCACGGTGCAGTTGAACTTGCCGTCCAGCACCAACGGATTCTTCACCTTCAAGTCCTTCGTCAGAAACATGCGCACTAGCTGGGATAGAGGGGAAAGGGGAAAGGGGAAGGCAGAAGGGGGAATGGGAAAAGGGGGAGACTTGAGAATTGTCTCTGGGTTCTTCAGTTTCATGTCCGGCGTCAGAAGCATGCGCACTAAATGTCGGTAGGGGGAAGGCGGAGGGCAACGGAGAAGGTGGAGGGACGGGGTTGGGTTGGGGAGCGGGGAAGCAGAGTTGGTGGAGGGGGGAGGGGGGGAAAAGGGTGGGGGAGGTTTACAGGTCGATGGCTGCCGTAAATAATACGCGCAACGAATGTGCCTGGGAAAGGGCGATGCCGGCGGGAAACGGGTTGGGAGGGAGAGGGGGGAGAAGGGAGACGGGGTGAGTGAGAAGCAAAATGGATAAGGGGGAATGGGGAAGGCGGTGCGGTGAGGCGACTCACCACAAGCAGTAGAACTTTCATCGCAGCAGGAACGGGCTCCCTACTGTTTACCTCGCTGCCTCGCAGCAAAAACATGCGCGGGTCAGAAATGAACGTACCTGCGTGGCTGGGTATTTGGTTCGCTTGGCGAAGTCGGCCTCTGCTGCGATGTTGATCTCGGGAACCGGATTGCTCACTGTGCACGGCCCCGCGGTCACTGGAGCAGCGGCGCGGAAGGAGTGAGAGGCGGGGGGGGGGGGGGGGAAGGCGGAGCAGCCGAGAGGGGAAACACGGGGAGAAGGAAAGCGAGTAAGATGACCCATCACCGGACTCAGAGGAGATTTCCGGGACAGGTTGCATAACCTTCGCTGTTGGTACGTTCGCTGTTGATACTTGTATGCTCGCTTTGCGAGTTTCGCTATACAACGTTTCGCTACTGGAAGTTTGTTACATCGGGTGTTCGTTTGTGTACAAGGGTGCTGTATAGCTTTACTGTAGGAGAGCGTGGGGGGACTGTACAGCGAAGACGTACCTTGTCGCACAGCGGCGGAGAGGAGAAGAGCGGAAAGGGCGTAGAGTGTGAGGAGCCATGCCATGTGCGACGCCATGGGGACTCTCGGACGCGGCGGCGACGAGCCTCCGTTTCTCATGCCGTACGGTCTAAGACACCAACTATCGCACTCGTCTGAATGATTCGAGAACCTTGTTTGAAAAGCAGTGGTCTGCTCAAAGACAGCAGTACTCGAGCATCAATAGGACTGCTTTTGGAAGCAGAACTCGGAAAAGACAAGCCCAAGGCGGCTGGAGATCACGGTAACTAAGTCGAGACGCAGCAAGATCGGGATTTCGTGGGGTTATTATCGTAGGACAAAGTGGAACACGGTAGGAATATATACGTACTACTCGCTTTTGGACAATTACTAGCACTGGACAAGGAGGTTGTTGGGAGTCCAGGCAGCCGACTGGGTGGGATGGTTCTGAGAAAACTGTTGATCTTGGTGGTGCTGAGAAAGTGCTGGTGATGTTGATCTAGATCACTGCAAAATATGGTTTACAGCGGTGATGAGGTTCTGTAAAGGATGTGAATGCGGTGGGTGCTCTCAACAAGGCAACACTGGGAGGAGCGAGCAAAAAAAAAAAAAAAAAAAAAAAAAAAAAAAAAAAGGGAGGAGCGAGCAACGGTTGTGGCTTTGGTTTGGCTTGCTGTCGGAAGAAAATGGAGGGGGGGGGGGGGGGAGGCTGACATGGTTTGCGAAACGGCCGTTGGGGCTGCGACAGCACCGTCGGGCCAGCGAGGTTGCCGAAATTCGTTTTGTGGTACGGTAGCGTCGCAATTCACGACAATGCAGCTGGAATTCGTTGAACGGCGCACCCATACCGGCGGCGAACCCGCCCCGCGCTCTCCATGGTTGCGATGGAGGAACTTTCGCGAGGGTTCGGACCGCGAAACCGGGGAAACAGAATGCTCGCGGCACGGTGCAGTCACCACATTCGGGCCGCCGTGGAGGTAGGCTGGCTGGCTGGGCAGTGTGGTTGGGGGGTTTGCGCAAGCCCGCGCCAGCGCTTATGCGATCGCCAGGGAAGTGCGTACAGCCATCCTGTCTGCTTTCGGTTCGGTCGGTTCTCCCAAACCAACCAACCCAACCAATCACCGTCACCATCATCAACGACCTGCCGTGGAAAGGGGTAGGCTTTACCCATCTCAGCAGCACATGAGATGTGACGATGGCGAAAACTTCACAAGGGTCGTGGGTGGCCGGCATACCCCACGTTGCGAATTCTGAGTTCGGCAGCGTTCGGACCATCGCCGACAAATCGGTTTACGACAGAACATGTCCCCACATGTGGGGAATCGTGCGGTGCTTCATTAATTCAACAACCCTACACGACAAGTCATGAGGTTTAGCACGGGCAGTAAAGGTGGATGAATACAAAAACGACTTTTAGCGGCCGAAGGCAGACTTACAGAATAGACTCGCTAACAATATAGACGCCAAACTCTGGCAAAACCATTTGACTTGGAGAGTCCGAGATCAGCTCGGTATAATTCTTGGAATTGGGTAACTACGGCTCGGACCAAGCTCGGCAAGGTGGAGAATTTTGGTGGAACAGACCAAACAATCAGAACCTAGAGATGGTTTGAAGCAAGGGGGGTACTCTCTACATTGACAGCCTCGGTAACGAAGGTCTTTATAACAGTGAGACATAACGGTTACTACTGCTGATGTGCTTGCACTCATAAAACATATTATAAAAAAAGGAAGTTAAGAGGCAGCGAAACCAATGGATGGACAGAACCTGAAACCTTGGAAATGGCTAGCAATTAATTTATTGGGATATTACAAATAATAAACGAATGATGGATATTCTTGTGTGGGTATGAAAAGTTTGGGTCTCAACGTTACACCTTTTGCCGCCATGCTGCTTGGCGGCCACTGTGACGAGCATAGAACCTCAACCATTTTCGCATTGTCAGCATAAAATCAGGGCGGAGCTCCCGTTCCAGCTCCGCACTCCACTTGGTTGTAGCATATGGATTCGGTTGTAGCGTCACATCACCAGACACTTCCCCGCCTCCATACACCGCAAGGCTTGATATGCTCCCGGGCTTTGCAATGGACGCAGGCTTGGCGGCGATCGGCTTCATGACTGGCATAGCGAGGTTGAAAAGGTTGAAATATGTAGCGTAGGACACGTTCTGCGGGCCAATCTCGTTCACCGGGCAGCTCCGAAAAGAAGAAAACTTTTTCAGAATTGGCGAAGCGGAAATCAGGCTGTAGTCACGGTTCTTCACGCTCTTGAACCCCGCAGCGCTAAGTTTCACGGGCAGGTAGGTCAGCTTGTTTAACTTGGGCACGGCGGTGAAAGGAGCGCAGTTGGAATGGATGATAACAAGGCGGGTGGAATTATCAGTCGTGGCTGTTACGATCTCGGCAATGTTTTCGGTGGGCAGCCCGGAACATCTGCCTGTGGCGGAAGGCCCAGGAGTGGACGAACTGCCTTCGTTGCAGTTGATTTTATTGATGGAGGTCTTTTTGCAGAAGTTGGTGAGGAATGGGAAGAGCTGGTGGGGAGGGGTGCGGGAGGGAGGAGGGGCAAGGGGGGGGGGGGGAGAAAGGAGCGAAAGGGCAGGGAGATAAGAGGAAAGCAATTGATGGTTGCAACTGATGGTTTTGATGGCAGTTTTAACAGTGGAGTTGACAAGGGAGGGGAAAAGCTGGTGGGGAAAGGGCTAGGGTGGAGGAAGGAGAGAAGAGGGAAAATTTGACGAAGCAACCCTCCCTACACTCGGACTGAAGAAATATTGGAAGACATCAGCTCACTTTCTTGATCCCTGGCGTCTGGTAGTAGGTGAGAAGGTCGTTGTTCCACTTGATCCCGTTGGGCTTGTCGCAGTTGTTCACTCCGTAATTCTGGCACGAGATGTACCCTGCTAGCGGCTCCTTGCTGTCTATAATCACCATTCCGCGCACCTCGTTACTGGAACACACAAGGAGAGGGGTTAGAGCAAAGAGGTGCAGAGCGAAAACAGTGAGTCACAAACCCCTCTTGTAATAAGAGGTTGGTTATAAGTCAGAAGGGCGACGCCACCATTGGTGTCAATCGGTACAAGTGAAAGAGCTTCAACTTGCTTCTTCTTCCCTTGAGCCCACTTTGGCCCATATACTCACTTCTTGCCCGTGTTAAGCTTCATCCCATCGGCAGTCTGCTCACACACGAGCCCATCCACGACCGTTCCAGACGACACCCAGTCGAGATACAAGCAGTGCCCGCCCCGCTGCACGTAGTTGCATCGGAGGACATTCCCGGGGTTTACCCAGTGCGTGTCGAGGTAAATACCCGCACTATCCCCCAGCTGCCCGAACCCGTGAACGATATCGTTTTTGGTGACCAGGGAGAGCATTGCGTCTCCCACGTTGCTCTGCCCCCACCCCAGCTGCAGGCTTGCAAGGGAGAAGTGCGATATGCGATTGCCGATGACGTCCACTCCCACTGCTCCCCGATATAGCATTATGCCAACACTGCAATGGGGAAGGGAGGGGAGTCAATAGGGAAGGTCAACAGGGAAGGGGGCAAGCTTGCGAGGGTGAATTGCAATTGCCGATGACGATGACAATGACGCCCATTGCTCCCTCATTTAGCTTGTTGGCGACACTGCAATAAAAAAAGGAAAGGAGGGTTACATGTTGGAGATGAGATCACATCGCTGCTACAAATGCCCACGCTTTTCCTCCATATTGACTCACACGGCGCCCTGTCCGATGGCGCTCTCCGTGCGGACGTTGCTGTTGGAAATAACCACGTTGCTGTTGGAAATAACCACGTTGCTGTTGGAAATAACCACGTTGCTGTTGGAAATAACCACGTTGCTGTTGGAAATAACCACGTTGCTGTTGGAAATAACCACGTTGCTGCTTCATATGCGTACACCGCTCCACTGAACAGACCAAATGCAAACCCATCCCAGACCTCCCCAGATTGACTCACGCGGCGCCCTGCCCGATGGTGCCCTCCGTGCGGACGCTGTTGTTGGAAATAACCACGCTGCTGCTCCATACGCTCACATATCTGCACTGAAGTAACCAAAATCAGAACCAAAGCAGAGAGACTCACGCGGCGCCCTGCCCGATGGTGCCCTCCGTGCGGATGTTGTTGTTGGATATAACCACGTTACTCCGAATGAGGTTAGGCCCGTCCCCTGACAGCATCACCACAATGGCTCCGGGCTGGTTGGTGGCCTTCACGAGCACGTCCATTGAGTCGATCCGCGAGTGGTTCGCACGTGCCACCTCCACCCGCCCGTACACGTTGCCCTGGATTCAAGAGGAGATGAGGAGGACAGGACCATCAGGGGGATAGGATATGAAGAGGGTTGGAAGGTGAGGGTTGGAAGGTGAGGGTTGGAAGGTGAGGGTTGGAAGGTGAGGGGGATGGAAAGACGAGGAAGGGCAGATAGGATGGAGACGGGGATACAATGCAGCAGAGTGTTACAGTGGACGTGAGAGGGACTGAGAGCGTACCTGCACCACTTGTACACCCCACACTCGGTACAGCCACACAGCAGGGCAAGCGTATTTGCCGATGAAGTCGATATAGCGAGTCTCGAGATAATTGCAGTCCACCTGCCCGACAGTCGAAACGGGCATCTTGAAATTCACTCCAATCACCAACACATTGTTCGTGTTGACGATTTTCGTTACCATGGTGCTGGAGGTGGGGAAAAGGGGTGAAAAGAAGCGGGTGAGAAGAAAGGGGCGAAGGAAAGGGAGAAAATAGATTAGATGGCGAAAACAAAGAGAAACAGCACATGGCGGTAGGTGGAGAGTGGTGGAGAGCGGCGTGGAGAGCGGCAAAGAGCGGTGGAGAGTGGAGAGCGAGTGGAGAGCGGAGTAGAGAGCTGTGGAGAGCGGTGGAGAGGGGTGGAGAGAAGCAGCACATACTTGACGGAGGGCGACATGAGGCCAAAGGCGCGGTCTGTGTCAGAGCGGAAGACGGTGCAGCTGAGCTTCGCATTAAAGAGCGAGAGTTGAGAAGGGGTGGAGAGCGGTGGAGAGAGGTGTCACATACTTGACAGAAGGTGAGATGAGGTCGAAGGCGCGGTCTATATCGGAGCGGAAGACGGTGCAGCTGAATTTCGCGTCCATCACAAAGGTGTCCGTCAGCTGTATGCTCGCCTTGAGTACCATCGTCACGTACTGCGAGTGCGCAAGGGACAGGGCATACGGGCGGTGGGGTTTGGGGTGTGAGTCGAGTCAAAGGTCTCTTAGCGTCCATCACGAACGTGTCCTCAGGTTTATGCTCGCCTTGAGTACCATCGTCATGCACTGCTTATGTTGGGGAGGGGAGGCGTAAGGGTGCAGAGGAAACGAAGGAAAGCCGCGTTTGAAGAAGTCTCAGGGCTGAGCGGTCGCCTTGAGCGCGCCGTTGTCACGTACTGATGTTGGGGAGGGTTATCATAGGGAAGTGCTAACGTGCGGCGCGAAAACGTGCGGCGCGAAAACGACGCGGAAGGGCGTCGAAGAAAACATACTCCGATTCAAAGGAACGGAAAGGAAGAGCGCGAGGGAGGGCGCAGGGGAGCACGCGCCGAGGAAGGGAAGGCGAACAGCGCGAGGCTCGCTGAGTTAAAAGTTCCAAGAGGCGCACCTGATTGGCGGGGTAGTTCTTTCGAAGGTAGAGGTCGGACTCGCGCGTCACGTTGATCAGCACTCGGGGGAGGAGGCACGGCGGCGCTGCGCGGAACGGGAAAGCGGCAGCACGTGCAGCGGGGAATGCGGAGCAGCGGAGAGGAAACGATGCGGGGAGGGGGGAGGGATGGGTAACGTTATTGGAGAATGGATGGAAGGATGGAAGTATGTAATGTGAATGGAAATTTTTGCAAGACGCCGACACGAGGAGCTGGCAACGAATGGAAGGGTATGTGATATGCGTACCGGATTGTGACTGAGAGACGAGAGAGAGAAGGGCCACGACGACGGGAAGCGCCGCCACTGGAAAGAGGCGGGCCTGCGATCAAGGGGAACAGCGGATTCGAAGGGGTGGTAGTCAGACTCGCGCGTATTGTAATCGTAAGCGTAACAGCTGGAAAAAACAGAATTGCCTGTCGAAAAGGAAAGGGTCTAGCGTTTTGGGTACTCTGCGAATGCGCCGTCCCGCGGGGCGCGTGGTGATCGACACACCTAACCCTCGCCGCGCGAAAATTGTAACGCACCGTCTCACGGAATCTCCGCATTCTGAAATATCTCTTCAGGAAGCACGACAAGCTGGGCCGACGCGACAGCAGGTGTCACGTAACGTGATCCGCGCGTGGAGTGCTGTACGCTTGTAACTACAGGTCCCTTCAATCTTTCTGCTAGGGGGGTACTTGATCAGTTTACAGGGCGGTTCGGGGTTACCAGAAGCGGGTCTTATCGAAGACACGGAACGACAGAGGAGCTAGTATCCGCGTCGAGGAAACGTTTAGGAGCCACTTGAATGAAGCAGAGATTTGAAGTTAAGAAAAGGTACATACAAATAGTAGGTGTGCGCGAAGCGAACATAGAGCCAAGGGAGGGGGGATCTGGTACAGGAGAAAGGCATGTGCGAGGTGGGTGTGGGGCATGTGTTGGTTCAGGTCGAGTGTTGGTCTGGTCTAGGAAGACAGGGATGGGAGAATCGGAGGGCGGACGTGCTTTGTATTTATTCGAGGATGGGGCGGCGGCAGCTGGTGCTGATGCGAGGGAGAAGCGCCCGATGTCTCTGCATCAGGTGACTGCGAAACAGCGATGCGCACTCTCAGGGGACGGTGTTTGTCGACGAGCTCTGCGAAAATTGCCGCAGCCGTCAACTGTGATCACTCTGTGGTGAGTAAGCTGATGACGAAGACAGATAATCATGTTACACTTAGAATCGTCATTTCGCCAAGCACAGCGCGTCAGCAATGCTGCTCCGTTTCTGGCGGCTGGCAGGTTGATCGGAAACAGAACCAACCATGCACTTTGGCGTGACGCCATCGGAAGGATGACACCACCACCAACCAGGTCTCTTCTTTGTCCGAGCATGGAGGGTGACGGTCGAGAGAAGAAAGTACTGTAACTTACCGCACAACGTGTAGAAAGGACACGAATGCCGCCCTCTGATGAGGGTGTGCCAGGCTGGTGGTGTGCGGTGGTGACCTGCCACTCTGATTTTTGGTGTGGTGGTGAGAGTTCACGTCAGCTGTCGAGCACAAGTCGTTACCATGTTCCTGCTACAATGTGTACGCTTTTGAATATATTCAACTCGACCTCACGAGCATTACGTTACACCCATCATTTCCGTTTCAAACATCCTCTCCACTCTCCCACCACATCCACCACCTCACCGTATCCACCTTTTTCCTCGTGTACCCGCAGAATTTCCATGAATTTATGTTATTTTTTCTTGAGTGCCAGGATAAAAACTCGCAATTTGTGTTGTCAGTGGATTGCACGCATGGAATATGCAATGCTTTTGCGCCATGACTTGTGTGCTGCTGGCTAGTCACCCCAATTCTTTTGGTGCGGGGAACTACATCTCTTTCATAGATCATGCATGCGAGTACATTGCTGGGCTGGTGGGTAAGGTATGGCTACCTAAAATAGCGAACCTTGATTGAAATCGTACAACATGGATTAATAATGTATAAAAAAATGGGATGACATGGCATACTTGTAATTTACGCCAAGAACCACACATTCACGCCTTCTGCAGGGGCGCCCGATTACGGCCAGGGTGCGGTGCATTGAATCTCGTCCACTTCCGCATGGTCATCATGAATCCAAGCTGCATCTCTCTTTTCAGTCGACTCAAAAGTCATCTCATGCCTTCTGCAGGGGGGGTGGCTGCCGGCTGGGGTGCCGTGCATTGAACCTCATCCACTCCCGCATGGTCATCATGAATCCAGGCCGCAGCTCTTGCTCCAGTTGCGGGCTCCACTTGGTTGTAGCGTACGGGTTCGGCTGTAGCGTCACCTTCCCAGACACCTTCCCTCCACCATACCCCACATTGCTCGATGCGCTCCCATTCTTTCCGACCGATGCAGGCCGGGCAGCAATCGGCACCATCAATGGAACGTCACGATTGAAAAGGGCGAAGTATTCTGTATAAGGCACATTTTTCGGGCCAATGTCCTGCACCGGGCAGCTTCGAAAAGTTGGGAGCTTTGCCCGGATCTGCGAGCTGTCAAGAAGGCCAAAGTCTCGGTTCTCCACACTCCTGAAACCGGCAGCACTAAGTTTCACGGGCAGGTAGGTCAGCTTGTTTAATTTTGGCATGGCCGTGAAGGGATTGCAGTTGGAGTGGTGGATAACAAGGCGGGTGGAATTATCAGTGGTTGCTGTGACGATCTCGGCAATGTTTTCGGTGGGCAGCCCGGAACATCTGCCCGTAATGTTAGGTCCGGGAGTGGTTGAAGTGCCCTCGTTGCAGTATATTCCATTGATGGAGGTTTTGTTGCAGAAGTTGGTGAGGAAGGGGAAGAGCTGGTGGGGAGGCATCCGGGAGGGAGGAACAACGAAAGGTATAGAAGCATTGAAAAATGATTTTCATGAGGGCAAAACCCAAAGGCATAGCCCTTGTGAATGGGTCCAAACAACCCCAAGTACTTATTCTAAAAAACAGTTGCAAGGTAGCTCACCTTTTTTATCCCTGGCGTCTGGTAGTAGGTGAGAAGGTCGTTGTTCCACCTGATCCCGTTGGGCTTGTCACAGTTGTTCACTCCGTAGTTCTGGCACGAGATGTACCCTGCTAGTGGCTGCTTGCTGTCTATAACCACCATTCCACGAATTTCGTTACTGGAACAACACACGAGGGGCAGAGAACAGGTGGAATGGGATGGAATGAGGTGGAATGCGGTGGAATGAGGTGGAATGCGGCGGAGAGAGTGGAGCGTTGGAAAAGCAAGTGACAGAGTGCCCTTGTACTCACTTCTTCCCAGTGTTGAGCTTCAGTCCATCGGCTGTCTGATCGCACACGAGCCCATCCACAATCACTCCCGACGACACCCAGTCGAAGTACAAGCAGTGCCCGCCGCCCCGCACGTAGTTGCACCGGAGGACATTTCCGGGGTTTACCCAGTGCGTGTTGAAGTAAATACCCGCACTGTCCCCGAGCTGCCCGAAGCCGTGAACGAAGTCGTTCTGAGCAACGAGGGTGAGCATGGCGTCTCCCACGTTGCTCTGCCCCCACCCCAGCTGGATACTGTTGAGGGTGAAGTGTGATAGGCGGTTGCCAATGATATTCACGCCCACTGCTCCCCTGAACAGCATTATGCCAACACTGGAGTAAATGGGGGATGGATGGGATGGGAGAGAACAGAGGGCCACGAGGGTGAGCATGGCGTCTCCCACGTTTCTCTGCCCCAATCCCATCTGGATACTGTTGAGTGTGAAGTGTGATAGGCGGTTGCCAACAACATTCACGCCCACTGCTCCCCTGAACAGCATTATGCCAACACTGGAGTAAATGGGGGATGAATGGGACGGGAGAGAACAGAGGGCCACGAGGGTGAGCATGGCGTCACCCACGTTTCTCTGCCCCAATCCCATCTGGATACTGTTGAGGGTGAAGTATGATAGGCGGTTGCCAATGATATTCACGCCCACTGCTCCACGGAACAGCATTATGCCAACACTGGAGTGAATGTGGTGGTGGGCAGGGGAGGATAGAGGGCAAGAAAAGATCACTCAAAAGTGAGAATTCTCAAATGGGACTCAAACGCATTGCTGCACATGGAAGCATAAGGTAGGTGACCTACACCCAGAACAGAAAATTGAGAGAAAAAAAAAGGAGCTGCTGTCCCGGATTTACTCACGTGGCGCCCTGGCCCATGGTGCCCTCTGTCCGGATGTTGTTGTTAGAAATAACCACCTCACTGCGGATGAGGTTGGGTCCGTCCCCTGACAGCATCACCACAATGGCTCCGGGCTGATTCGTTGCCTTCACGAGCACGTTCATCGAGTCGATTCGCGAGCGATTTGCTCTCGCCACCTCCACTCGCCCATACACGTTGCCCTGAAGAGGAGAGAGGAGGAGGAGGAGGAGAGAGGAGAGAGGAGGAGGATTAACAGCTATTCCTCTTTATCTGTAGCTCTTACGGCGCAGAGAAAAGGAAATGCAGTTGAGTGGCTGTATAATGGGTGTGAAAGGGACTGAACGTACCTGCACCACTTGTACACCCCATACTCGGTACAGCCACACAGCAGGGCAAGCGTATTTGCCGATGTAGTCACGATAGCGCGTCTCAATGTAGTTACAGTCCAACTGCCCGACAGTCGAAACGGGCATCTTGAAATTTACCCCAATCACTAGCACATTGTTGGTGTTGACGATTTTCGTTACCATGGTGCTGTGAGGGGGGAAGGGGGGGTTGGACGGGGAGGGAGTGAGAGGGGAATGGGGTGTGAGGAAACTGGTAGGAGGAAGTGAGGAAAAGGGGGCGATGGAAAGGAGAGGAGAGAGAAGGGGAGATACGTTGGATGGGAGAATCAAAGGGAAGAAGCACGTGGGTATGAGACAATGGAGAGGTTGCTGGTTGGTGGAGAGTGTTGGAGAGCGGTGGAAAGAGTTGGAGAGAGGCAAGACATACTTACAGAAGGCGAGATGAGGTAAAAAACGTGGACTGTGCCAGAGCGGAACACGGTGCAGGTAAACTTCGTGTTGGAGAGGGGTGGAAGTAGTAAAAAAGGTGTGGAGAGCGGTGGAGAGAGGCGGCACATACTTGACAGAAGGCGAGATGAGGTCAAAGCCGCGGTCTGTGGCGGAGCGGAGGACAGTGCAGCTGAACACTCAGAGCTGGTTCGGAGGCTTAAAAAGGGGTGGAGAAAGGTCGAGAGCGGTGGGGACTTACTTGACGGAGGGTGAGATGAGGTCAAAGCCGCGGTCTGTGGCAGAGCGGAAGACAGTGCAGCTGAACTTAGCGTCCATCACAAACGTGTCTGTCAGCTGTATGCTCGCCTGCAGCACCATCGTCACGTACTGGTTGGGACAGAGAAACAGGGACGTGCAAACCAGTGGGAAGGCAAAAAGGGGACGTGGTTCAGGATGCTCCCGTGCTGTATGAGTCGTGTTTTGAGTCGACTCAAAACAAGGGGGAAGGCAAAAAGGGGACGTGGTTCAGGATGCTCCCGTGCTGTATGAGTCGTGTTTTGAGTCGACTCAAAACAAGGGGGAAGGCAAAAAGGGGACGTGGTTCAGGATGCTCCCGTGCTGTGTGCTCGCCTGCAGCACCATCGTGGTGTAGGGTGATTTTGGGAAATCTCAAACACACCCTACATCACCAAAGGGGAAGTGGTTCAGGATGCTTCCGTTCTGGATGCTCGCCTGCAGCACCATCGTCACGAACTGGTAAAGCAGGGAAGAGGAATGGCAAGGGGCGGGCAGAGGGGGGTTGGATTCGACGTAAGTGAACCGACTCCAAGTGTGTCTTGCTGTCTGCACCAACGCCTTCCGGAAGCCCTATTTTTGAGAATTCTCAAAAAACAGATTTAGCAAACGGGGGTTCGATTCGACGTAGGTGAGACGACTCCTAGTGTTACTTGCTGTCTGCACCACCAACGCCTTTCGGAAGTGTGCAGACAACCTTTTTGAAAGAGTTTTTTTGGCAAAAACCTTCTCCGTGGTGCACTAGTGGAGCAGGGGACAGGAACGGCAAGGGGAGGGCAAGAGAAGCGGCTCACACCCTGATTGGCGGGTCACCCGAGGGGCTCACCTAATTGGCGGGTCACTTGAGGGGCTCACGTGATTGGCGGGGCACCCGAGGGGCTCACCTGATTGGCGGGTCACTTGAGCGGCTCACCTGATTGGCGGGGTAGTTCTTTCGAAGGTAGAGGTGGGACTCGCGCGTTACGTTGATCGTCACTTGGGGGAGGAGGCACGGCGCTGCGCGGAGCCGGGGAAATGCGGGACGTGTGGCGGGGAACACGGAGCAGCGAAGGGGAGAAAGGAATAATATTTATCTTAAGCGGGTGATGTCAGGGAGAATTGAGGATTCTCAATGACACCGCCGGAATGGGCCGGACATTGCGGCGACTCGGAAATAGGGGAACGCGATGCGGAAAGTTGCGAATCGGTGAAAATCCGCGGCAGCGGCCGCACGACGGCGATCCGGAGAGGGTGCGTGGAGGCGCGCACCTGATTGCGACAGAGAGACAAGAGAGAGAAGCGCCACGAGGACAGGCAGCGCCGCCATTGCCCGTGGAAATACGCGGGCCTGCGATGTCGCGTACGTAAGTATCGCGACGAAACATAACTTCCCGTCGGAACAAATAGAAAGAGACGTGAGTAGAACTTTGCGATTGGTATATTTTCGCGAAGCGAGAGGTATTTGTCGCGCCTAACCCTAGCCCTGCGAGAAATGTAACACACCGTCTGACGGGAATTTTGCATCCCAAAATATCAGCGTACAACAATTTGTCTGGCGAAGATTTTCGTGATGATGAGAGAAATGCAAATTCAATGAGAAGGTCCAAGCGAGGACCGTGGTCTGGTTCGATTGAGTGGTTCAATGCAGATTCGAGGCGGACGTGCTTTGCATTTATTCCAGTTCGCGGCGGCCCAGGTGGCGGCGAAACGAATGCGAAGAGCCCGTTTGCCCTGCGTCAGGTGACTGTGAAACAGCGCGGCGCTCTCTCAAGGGACGGTGATTGTCGGCGAGGTCGGCGAACACTTTCGCATCCGTCAACTTACGTCATCGTGTCCAGCGAGAATTCTTTATTCGCGAAGCTCGTTCAGACTTCCTGGCTACATTGCTGCTTCTTCTCGGCGGCTGGCAGGTTGGTCGAGAACGAAACAAAACCTGTACTTTTCCATGGCGCAACCTGGAGGTCAAATTTTTGGATGGAATGCGGGGAATGGCGCAACCAGAAGGCCAAAGAATGCGGGGACGATTGTAGGTTGTAGGACCACATCCCGCCCTTGGTGGAACTCTCGACTGCTCTGCTGACGAACTCGATTCGTTGCCATCCTCCAGCTAAAATGTGTACACTTTCAGACAAGGCTCGTCAACATAAAATGATGATACCTAATTTGCTGTATACCAATCAATACCCCCTTTCTATGTCCGCTACCCATCACATTCTGCCACATTTTTTTTTCCGAGCTATGGTATTCCAATGCGTCACTTCTGCAGCAACACTGAAAGTTTGCATTCAGCTCCAGGGGATTGCACATGAGATTGCCCCGCTTTTGCACCATTACAAGCACGTTCACGGTGGGTGGGCCACTTAAACATGTGTAATTGTTCATATAGGAGAGTGGCAGTTCAGAGTGGGTGGCAAAGCTAAACAATTACAGCAAGTGGGTATCAACTCAGGAGAATCGCCTGGAATAAATATAAACAGAAAATATGTACAAACAAGGAAAGAACAAAGCATCAAGCAAGCGTGTGGAGTGTTTATGCTGGTGGTCCATCCATGCCGGAAAAACATGCTCATGCCTTCTGTCGGGGGGCTGATTGGCGGACAGGGTGCCGTGCATTGAACCTCATCCACTCGCGCATCGTCATCATGAATCCAGGCCGCAGCTCTCGCTCCAGTTGTGGGCTCCACTTGCTTGTAGCGTACGGATTCGGCTGTAGAGTCACATTGCGAGATGCTTGCCCTCCATCATAAACATTCGATACGCTCCCGGGTTTTCCTACGGATGCAGGCCTTGCGGCAATGGGCCTCAACGACGGAATATCCCGATTAAAAAGGATATAGTACTGTGCGTGGGGCACACTTTTTGGGCCAATGTCCTTCACCGGGCAGCTCCGAAAAGTCGGAAGTTTTTTCCGAATCTGCGAATTGTAAAGGAGGCCAAAGTCGCGGTTCTTCACGCTTCTGAACCCAGCGTCGCTGAGTTTCACGGGCAGGTAGGTCAGCTTGTTTAATTTCGGGATGGCGGCAAAAGAAGCGCAGTTGGAGTGGTGGATAACCAGCCTTGTGGAGTTATTGGTGGTGGCCGTGACAATCTCAGCGATGTTTTCGGTGGGCAGCCCGGAACATCTGCCCGTGGCGGAAGGTCCGGGAGTGGCTGATGTGCCTTGGTTGCAGTTGATTCCGTGAATGGATGTTTTGTTGCAGAAGTTGGTGAGGAAGGGGAAGAGCTGGTGGAGAGGGGTAATGGAGGTGGGGAGAGGGGGAGGGAGGGGTGCGGGGGTGAAGGAGGGAAGAAGAAGAAGAAGAAGAAGAAGAGAAGCTGTTGCATTAGATTGGCAAGGAATAGGGAAAGCGGACCGAGAGAGGGGGTGGGCTTGAAGGAGGGAAGAGGGAAATTGGGAGGCGATGCTAGTTGCAAGGCACAGAAACTACAAACGACCAGAGAAGAGCGGCTCACCTTCTTGATCCCTGGCGTCTGGTAGTAGGTGAGCAGGTCGTTGTTCCACTTGATTCCTTTTTAGGAATTCCGCTAAACCTCTGAGGCGTCACAGCGGCTCACCTTCTTGATCCCTGGCGTCTGGTAGTAGGTGAGCAGGTCGTTGTTCCACTTGATTCCTTTTTAGGAATTCCGCTAAACCTCTGAGGCGTCACAGCGGCTCACCTTCTTGATCCCTGGCGTCTGGTAGTAGGTGAGCAGGTCGTTGTTCCACTTGATTCCTTTTTAGGAATTCCGCTAAACCTCTGAGGCGTCACAGCGGCTCACCTTCTTGATCCCTGGCGTCTGGTAGTAGGTGAGCAGGTCGTTGTTCCACTTGATTCCTTTTTAGGAATTCCGCTAAACCTCTGAGGCGTCACAGCGGCTCACCTTCTTGATCCCTGGCGTCTGGTAGTAGGTGAGCAGGTCGTTGTTCCACTTGATTCCTTTTTAGGAATTCCGCTAAACCTCTGAGGCGTCACAGCGGCTCACCTTCTTGATCCCTGGCGTCTGGTAGTAGGTGAGCAGGTCGTTGTTCCACTTGATTCCTTTTTAGGAATTCCGCTAAACCTCTGAGGCGTCACAGCGGCTCACCTTCTTGATCCCTGGCGTCTGGTAGTAGGTGAGCAGGTCGTTGTTCCACTTGATCCCGTTGGGCTTGTCACAGTTGTTCACTCCGTAATTCTGGCACGAGATGTACCCTGCTAGCGGCTGCTTGCTGTCTATAACCACCATTCCCCGAATCTCGTTACTGAAAAAATGCAGGAGGGGTGGAGAACAGGGGTGGAATGGATGGAATGAGATGGAATGGGATGGAATGAGGTGGAATGGGATGGAATGGATGGAATGAGGTGGAGAGAGTGGAGCGTTGTAAGAGCAAGAGACAGAGTGCCCTTCCACTCGCTTCTCTCCCGTGTTGATCTTTTGAGGCGCCTCAGAAGCAGTCCATCCGCAGCTTTCTCACACACATGCCCATCAACAATCACTACAAGAGGAGTATTCCGGAGAATTCTACAAGTTGAAGGCCTTAGAGGAGAATTCAGGAGAATTCTACAAGTTGAAGGCCTTAGAGGAGAATTCAGGAAAATTCTACAAGTTGAAGGCTTTAGAGGAGAATTCAGGAGAATTCTACAAGTTGAAGGCTTTAGAGGAGAATTCAGGAGAATTCTACAAGTTGAAGGGCGTGCCCTTGTACTCACTTCTTCCCAGTGTTTAGCTTCAGCCCATCTGCAGTTTGCACGCACACGAGCCCATCCACGATCACTCCCGACGACACCCAGTCGAAATACAGGCAGTGCCCACCCCCTTGAACGTAGTTGCACCGGAGAATATTTCCAGGGTTCACCCAGTGCGTGCCGAGGTAAATACCCGAACAATCCCCCAGCTGCCCAAAGCTATGAATAATGTCGTTGTGGGCAACGAGGGTGAGCATTGCATCGCCCACGTTCGTCTGCCCCCATCCCAGTTGCAGGCTTGCAAGGGTGAAGTGTGATAGACGGTTTCCCACCACGTTCACTCCCACTGCCCCTCGGTACAGCATGATTCCCACACTGCGATCGAAACGGGAAGCAGGAGAGAGGGGGGGATGAAGGCTTGCGACGGTGAGGTGCGACAGCCGGTTGCCTGCCACGTTCACTCCCACTGCCCCTCGGTACAGCATGATTCCCACACTGCAGTGAATGGGGTGGGTGGTAGGGAAGACAGAAGGCAGCAGGGAGGGCAAGGGGCAGCAGGGATTGAGAGAAGCGAGGCGAAGAAATGAGCTGTAAAAAAAGATCTGTAAGCGAAGAAAAGGGAGATGACACTGCTGCTGGTTGTAAGCCTACACTACACCTACTAAATCCGAAGAGATGACTCAGAAGCGAGAATCCTCAAGAGTGATTGCACGCATTGCTGCTGCACCTGGAAGCCTAAAGACAGTGGCTTATTCCAATAGACACGCACACACACAAAACAAAAAGACAAAAAGGTGTATCAAAAGCGACTCACGCGGCGCCCTGCCCCAAGCTGCCCTCTGTCCGAATGTTATTGTTGGAAATAACCACTTCGCTGCGGATGAGGTTAGGCCCGTCCCCCGAGAGCATCACCACAATGGCTCCGGGCTGGTGGTGGCCTTCACGAGCACATCCATTGAGTCGACCCGCGAGCGATTAGCTCTCGCCACCTCCACCCGCCCGTACACGTTGCCCTGCAGAGGAGAGAGGAGAGAGGAGAGAGGAGGAGGAGGAGGAGGAGGAGGAGGAGGAGGAGGAGGAGGAGGAGGAGGAGGAGGAGGAGGAGGAGGAGGAGGGACATTAACAGCAACTCCCTTTTGGCTTCGGCTGTTACAGTACAGAGCAGAGCCGATGGAATGAAGGGTGGTAGGATGGGTGTGAGAGGGACTGAGCGTACCTGCACCACTTGTACACCCCACACTCGGTACAGCCACAGAGCAGGGCAAGCGTATTTGCCAATGAAGTCAATAAAGCGTGTCTCAATATAGTTGCAGTCCCGCTGTCCGACAGTCGAAACGGGCATCTTAAAATTCACCCCGATGACCAACACGTTGTTGGTGTTGACGATCTTTGTTACCATGGCGCTGTGGGAGGGTGGAGGGGAGGGGTGGAGTGCGGTGGATTTTATCTTGAAATTCACCCCGATGACCAACACGTTGTTGGTGTTGACGATCTTTGTTACCATGGCGCTGTGGGAGGGTGGAGGGGAGGGGTGGAGTGCGGTGGATTTTATCTTGAAATTCACCCCGATGACCAACACGTTGTTGGTGTTGACGATCTTTGTTACCATGGCGCTGTGGGAGGGTGGAGGGGAGGGGTGGAGTGGGGTGGATTTTATCTTGAAATTCACCCCGATGACCAACACGTTGTTGGTGTTGACGATCTTTGTTACCATGGCGCTGTGGGAGGGTGGAGGGGAGGGGTGGAGTGGGGTGGATTTTATCTTGAAATTCACCCCGATGACCAACACGTTGTTGGTGTTGACGATCTTTGTTACCATGGCGCTGTGGGGGGTGGAGAGGCCGAGGGAATGGGATCGAGGGAATGGGATCGAGGGAATGGGATCGAGGGAATGGGATTGAGGGAATGGGATCAAGGGAATGGGATCGAGGGAATGGGATTGAGGGAAAGGGATCGAGGGAATGGGATCGAGGGAATGGGATCGAGGGAATGGGATCGAGGGAATGGGATCTAGGGAATGGGATCGAGGGAAATGGGGAACTCATTCAGACGGGACGAACGAAGGGAAGCAAACACGTCACATAGGTATGAGAGAGCGGAGAGGGTGTTGGAGAAGTGCGTTGGAGAGCGGTGGAAAGAGTTGGAGATGGGTGGAGAGCAGTGGAGAGAGGCGAGCCATACTTGACGGAGGGCGAGATGAGGTCAAAGGCGCGGTCCTTGTCTGAGCGGAAGACAGTGCAGCTGAACACTCAAAGCTGGGTCGGAGGCTTAAAAAGGGGTGGAGAATGGTCGAGAGCGGTGGGGACGCACTTTACAGAGGGCGAGATGAGGTCGAAGGCTCTGTCCTTGTCGGAGCGGAAGACAGTGCAGCTGAATTTCGCGTCCATCACAAACGTGTCTGTCAGCTGTATGCTCGCTTGCAGCACCATCGTCACGTACTGGCGGGGGCAGGACAAGGGGAACCAGGGGGGAGCGGTTCAAGATGTTTCCGTGCTGTATGCTTGCCCATCGTGGTGGTGGCGGAGAAGACATGGAAGACGGGAGAAAGACGCGGAAATGCGCGGCGGAGGAAAGGCGCTGAGAGGCGTCGACGAAATTCGATTTAAAGGGAATGGAAGGGGGAAGCGAGGAGAAGGGTGCGAATGGGGTGAAGAGGTATTCGTGCCGGTGGAGAGAGGAGGCTCCCGAGCGGCTCACCTGATTGGCGGGTCACTTGAGCGGCTCACCTGATTGGCGGGGTAGTTCTTTCGAAGGTAGAGGTGGGACTCGCGCGTTACGTTGATCGTCACTTGGGGGAGGAGGCACGGCGCTGCGCGGAGCGGGAAAAGCGGCGGCACGTGCGGCGGGGAACACGTAGCAGCACAGGAGGAGAAGGAGGCTTTTTTTTCTCAGCTGATGATCCCGGAGAGGGTTGAGAATTCTCAAAGACAACCCGGGAAATGGAGGGGCATTGCGAGGGACTCGGAAATAGGAGAATGCAATGGGGAAGGTTGCGAATCTGTGAACCCTCGTGGCAACGGGCTTACGACGGCGATTTCGGCGGGGGTGCGTGGAGACGCGTACCTGATTGGGACAGAGAGACGAGAGAGAGAAGCGCCACGAGGACGGGCAGCGCCGCCATTTCCCGTGGAAATACAAGGGCCTGCGATGTTGCGTGCGTAAGTATCGCGATGAAACATGACCTCCCGTCGGAATTAATGCCAGGCGACGTGAACAGAACTTCGCGATTGCTCTCTTTTTGGGAAGCGAGAGGTGATTATCGCGTCTAACCCTAGCCGTGTGAGAAATGAAACGCACCGTCGCACGAGATTTCTGCATTCCGAAAGATCAGCGTACAGCACTATTGAAAGTGTGGGGGAAAAAAACGTTGAGGGGATGTGTCTGTGCCAAGGACTTCGTCGGGATGAGAGAAATGCGGATACAACGATAAGGTTGTGTGGACTGTGGTCTGGTTCGATTGAGTGTTGCGTTCGAATTCAGGGCGGACGTGCTTCGCATTTATTCCAGTCCGCGGCGGCCCAGGTGGCGGCGAAACGAACAAGAGCCCGTTTGCCCTGCGTCAGGTGATTGCGAAACAGCGCGGCGCTCGTTCAGGACTGTGTTTGTCGGCGAAGCTTTTCGCAGCTGTCAGCCTAGGTTATCATCTGGTGGGTGAGCTAACGAGAAGTAACAGTTACACAACAATTCGCGAAGCTCCACTCGTTCAAACACTCACGAATTCGATTTGTTGCGACAGTTCTGCTTCGGTACAATGTGTAGATTTCTAGAAAAAGAATGACACTCTAAACTAGACATCCCTACATCTTTTCATAACAGGACTTCAGTCTCCACCACCTGCCACCACCTCGCCTTTCCCATAAAAATGTGGTGTCCACAGTTTTCTGTGCCACTCTTGAGGTTTGCGCTGGAACTGTTATGTCACATGAAAATGTCCTACTTTTTGCATCATATGTCATGCTCATGGTGGATGACTCAAGCAGCAGTTCAAACCCAAGTGAAAGACAACTGCAGAGAGCATGAACTCAGATGGATGCATTCTGACTTTACAATTGAGTACCCTACATCACGTGCACGAGACGCACCACGTGCATTCTCTCGACCTATCACGATAATAAGCGCAGTGACTCCGAATCCATCGCCCCTACCCAAACCCCTCTATCCTATGCTTATTTTCCCTACACGACAAACTCGGCAAGGTATCGCGCCAGCAAGCATAATCACCAGAAAGCAGTGCCCTAGACCGTCACCGCTCCAACCAGCCAACCATTCGTCTGACTCACGGGAAGTTTACCGCCGTGCGATAAATCGTATTGTTAACCCAATTCGCGGGAACAGCATCCCACGCCTCGAGCGGGAGAGTCCCGAGGGCGGGCCAGAGGCGGAAGGAGAGCGACATGCCGACCACGGGCAGGCCCGGCAGGTCCCACACAGCGCCGTAGCTCTTGCGCATAGCCATCCACGGGCCGCGCGCGATCGAGATGTCAACGCGCTTTAAGGCGCCAGCTCCGGCCACGTTGAGAGGCAAGGCTGGGGGACAAGAGAGAGAAGGCACGGTAACGATAATGCCGGAATCATGCTGATGGTTGGCGAACGCAATGGATGGTGCTCCACCCGGAATGTGATGGGTATGAAACAAGACATTATGATTTCGGGAAATCGCATTGCTGACTATAACGCACTCTCCACAAGGGCCTCAAAACGGTGACGCGGCGCCCGATACAAGAACACCATTTACTCTCACCGGTGACGTAGTACTCCTTCCCAGTGATATTGAATGCGACGCCACCCACGCGCCGGCACCTGACGCGCTTAATCTCCACGGGAACAACGCCGGCGGAGGGATCCTTCGACATCTGATTCCACACGGGATTGGGCAGTGTGATGCTCCGCTTATTCTTCGCGCAGTACCCGCCGGGCGCATTCGGCGGGCAGATATTCGTGACAGTAACGGGCACTGTCATGATCCCCGGCTTGCACGACGGGTGGCCGGTGCACCGCATCTGGAAACACGCGCCGCAGTTGCTGCCGTTAGCGTAGCCTACGGTGGACATCGATGCCGTGTTGTGGTGTAATTGGGGGTACCCACACGCGCCGTTGGGGCGGTTCTGGAGCGCGTAGTACGACGCAACGAAGCCTTTGATCCATTGCGCGGAGATCCCGGCGGTGAAGGAGGAGAGGCAGAGCGCGAGAAGCAACACACGGGGGGCTGTGTGGGAACGCATGGTTGCTGACCTGTTGAATCAAATCCCTTAGGAACTTTCTAAACAATCTAATTCGTACAACCTGAGCCAGAGAAACCCGACGACAATAGACTGGGGTTCCAGAAACAAATACTGGAATCGGATCGCGGCCTGTGTTCCCTTGCTTTTGTGCGCCGAGATACTAACGAGGTTGACTAGGGGGGTGAGGTGAGGAGAGCTGATAAAAGGTGGATTTGAGCGACGATGCCGAGTAGATGCGTGGAGAGAAGAGAGGTGAGAGGGAGGCGGGGAGGTGGGGACGGGGGGAGTCGAGGCGAGGCGAAAAGAGCACACCCCAATCAATCTCTGTGCACGGAAACCAACAGCGGAGCGGTCTTGCGCAATTCTCGATTGAGTCACGGATCGCCATGTTTGCGCATGTCACTTTCCGAAGCGCTGAAGATTTTGAATGCGATGCGCGCCTCTATGGTCTGCTTGTGACAGGGTATCACTGACCCTCGGTAGCGTGGTACGCGATTTAGGCACTAAGAAATGAAATCTAACGAAACCGCTTTCTAAGAATGAATCAACATTGATAATCTCTTTCTCCTTCTATAAACCTGATGCACAATTGAATAAAGTGCATTATGTTTGTACAAGGACAATGGAAAGTCCAGCTATCATCGTCCAGATGTTGCAGTCTTGCCACCTCCATCCCCACCCAGGTGTTCCACTTGAAAGTGGCAACCCCCTACAGGACTAGCCGTCGGCGGTCTTGTCTGGAGCGCAAGTAACGTCCCATTCCCGAGCATGGAAGCGAACATGGCAAATGTGCTGACATACTTATTAAAACTCACAAGCACACGGGCCCGACTGAGCAGGAAAAACTCAGCCATGGTTGGGGACGGCTGCTGCTGAAAATGCTCCTCAGGCACTCCCTTCTGCCTCTCCAAACGTTCCAAACCTTCTGCTTCTCCTTCCCCTTCTGCTCTACCTTCCAATCCCCCTCTTCCTCCTGCTCCCGCTGGCCCACCTCCTCCTGTTGCTGCTGCTGCAGCAGCAGCAGCAGCAGCAGCAGCAGCAGCGCCGCTTTTTGACGTGTGAGTGACAGCGCCAGTGGAGAAAAAGACATCCCCAGCCACCGGCCCGATCTTATCCACAAACTGCGGCCGCAGGTTCTCGTTGTCCGTTGCCAAAAAGACGGAAAGCGGCTTCAGAGAAGACAAAGCACCGCTCTCAATCCCCTCCAACCCATCCCCAAGATCCCCAGCACCGCGCGCTCTTTTCGACCCTCGCCCACCCTCTTCCTTCACTAATCCCTGACCAGCCTGACTAGCCCGACCAGCCAAGGACTGCAGCAGGGAGAGCAAGGGATCGGGGTTGTTGTTGGAGGGGTTGGGCAGCTTGATGCCGGACTTGCGGGTGCGGAGGAAGAGGAGGAGGCGCGTGATGCAGGCCCACTTGTCGGGTGTGAGAAACTGCTGCATGTGTGCCGCTTCTGCTGCCCTCAGCTGCTGCTGCTCGTGCTCACACTCCCTGTCTGCCTCGTGGCATGAGGGGTGCTCCACCAAGCTGGTGGTCGGAGGGAGGGGATGGGGACGAATGGTGGAACGGAAGGAGGGCGAGATGATTAGAAGGGACGGAAGGTTAGAAAGAGAGGAGGGAGCCTTGTGACATGAAGGTTGCTCCACCAAGCTGATATGGGGAGGAGCGTGGGGGGAAAAAATGAGGACGAAGGGCAGGAGGGTCAGGTAGAGGAAGGAAAGAGGGAACTTCGGGGAAGGATGGAGGGAAGGGAGGGGGGACGGAAGGGAGCAGGAGCAGGGGCATGAGGAGCTGTTTCACGAGTACTCACTTGGTGGCTGTGCGGATCTGAATGGCCACGTCGAATTGCAGCCGCAGCCCAGTGCCTTTCTTCACTCTCGCACCGCCCGCCTGCTCGCTCTCCCCACCATCCTCTCCATAAGCTGACTCGCTATCAACAGAAGAGGCTGCTGCAGCCCCGCCTCCCTGCTCCGCATAACTGCCCTCAGCAGCATACTCCTCAAGCTGCCTTATTCTGCCAGGTGCCGAGCTGCCAGGTGCTGAGATGATAGGAGCTAGGGTACTAGGTCTGTTACTGCTTGCATCTGTTACTGCAGCTCCTGCTGCTGCCACTTCCACAGCTGCTGTTGCTGTTGCTGCGGTGGCTGTTGTTGTTGCTGCTGTTGTTGTTGCTGCTGTTGCTATTACCACTGCGGCTGATTCTCTACCCACAATCCGTTGCGCCTCATCCTTCCCATGCACCTCACCCTTATCCTCACCCCCCCTTTCTGCTTCTGCTGCTGGCCCCCCGCTCCCACGCTCTCTCCCTGCAAGACCCCCTCCCTCTCTCTGCTCTGCATTGCTCTGCTCCTTCTCTCCGCCACCACCAAGAAGACCCGAATGGGGTGTTCCGACCTCCTCCACCCCCACTCTCCTCCCAACCAGCCTGCGCCTTGTCCCACCACCACCACCCCATCTCCCTCCCTCTGCCCCTCCCTCTTTGCCTCTCTCTTTCCCTACGGACCTCCCTTCTTCTACCCCTCCCTCCTCCTCCCCTCCTAAATGCATCCTCTCCTCACCCCCCCTCCCAACCCCTTCACCTTCCTCCCCCCTTCTCTTCCCCCTACGGCCCTCACTCTCTCTCATTCCCCCTTTTCCTCTTCCTCCACCCTCACTCCCACCACCCTCGCCCCACCGTTTCCTCCTCACAATCTCCTCTATCACCCCTTGAAGCTCAGGCACAGGGCCATGCCCTAGCAAGGCATGAATGGCATGACTCCTCACACACCAGATGTTATGGCAGTGAAAGGCTTTCTGCACACACGGAGACAACCTCCCATTTTTATGCCAGAAATTATCGAAGAAGCTGCCCGTGTTCACATGCACCACGGGCAGCCCGGAGTGCAGGGCAGAAAGAAACTCTTGTCTTGGCGCGTGCAGCTCGAGGGGCTCGCTGACGTGGCGGATATCGTCGGTGAAATTGACCAATGGGGCGACGCCGCTGCAGTCAAACGTGGTGCAGAGGTGATCCAGCACGGCCCTGTGCTTCCCTCCGTGCCACCGCAGCAACCGGCGGCCTGAGAGGAGAGCATAGACATATGCTGAGCAGAATCCGCGCAGGGAGTTGCCTAAGCCGAAGCGGGGAAACCACACTAAGTACCGCTCCTGCTGCTGCTGCTGCGGCTGGTCCTGCTGGCCCTGCTGTTGTTGGTCGTCGCTGGAAGAGGAGGAAGAGTGAGAAGAGTGGGGATGCATGGATGCTGCTACGGCAGCAAGAGCAGCTTCGGCTGAAGACTGATGCTGCGGATAATGCTCTCCCTGCTCGCCCTGCCCTCCCTGCCCTTCCTGCCCCTCCTGCTCCTCTCTGCCTCGTACCCCCTCGTTAGCATATGCAGGGAGGGGCTGTGGGTCGAAGAGCGGCGAGGAGAGCGTTGCGAGGTGCTCGCCTGTGACTGGCGTGGGGGTGAGGATGGGCGTGGGCTCGTCAAACACTTCGGGGGGCAGCACCTTGGCGCACGAGCCTAGGGCCTGGGGCAGGGGGAGGGAAGAAGGGGGAATTTGAAGAGCGAAGGAAGGAGAGTGCTGTGAGGTGTCCGCCCGTGACTGGCGTGGGGGTGAGCACTCCCGTGGGCTCGTCCAACACTTCGGGGGGAAGGACCTTGGCACACGAGGCTAGAGCCTGGGGAAGGGGGGAGGAGAGGAGAACGGGAGGATGGGAGGATGAGGTGATGGTAAGAGAGGAGGAAGGAGAGTCAAGAGGGGCACTAGCGACAGGCGTGGGGGTGAGCACTCCCGTGGGCTCGTCAAACACTTCGGGGGGAAGGACCTTGGCACACAAGGCTAGAGCCAGCTGCTGCCATCCGTCCACTGCCACTGGTAGCCCTGGTCCACCTGGCTGCCCACCAGGAAGCGGCCCTCCCGGAGGTCTAATTTCAGGGATCAAAGTGTCATGTCATGCATGCATTTACTCAAATCCACATCCAAAGAGAGGTTTCGCACGAAGGGGCTTCTCCAGCTGGGCTCAATCACCCCGTCCGTCCACTGCCCCTGGTAGCCCTGGTCCTCCTGACTGCCCACCAGGAAACGGTCCTCCCGGGGGTCCTCAGGGGTCAATTTGTCATGCCATGCCATGCACTTGTCATGCCATCTCATGCACTCACATCCATATCCAAAGAGAGGTTTTGCACGAAGGGGCTTCTCCAGCTGGGTCCCACCACCCCGTCCGTCCACTGCCACTGGTAGCCCTGGTCCGCCTGACTGCCCACCAGGAATCGGTCCTCCCGGGGGTCGCCGTTCAGGCGGAACGCCACGCTGCGCACCCACGCGTCCTTCAGCCAGCTCATGATGAGCTGGCGCCGCCGTGAGGGGGGTGCCGCGTCACCCTCAGACGACACGTCATCCTTCTGCCAGCTCATGATGAGCCGACGCCGGGGAGAATGGGATATAGGACGGTGTAAGTGAGGCGAGGTGAATGGCTGGCTTCCCTTGTGGCGTTTATGCTGTTGAAAGGTGTGATTGCTTAGAGCAACTGCCTCATGCCGCAACTGCGACCACGCCTCATCATCCTCCCCCTCCTCTTTCCTTTCCCTCTCCTCCTCTTCGTGCTGCTCCGCGTCCTCCCCCGCTTCTCCCCCCGCGTCCTCCCCCGCTTCTCCCCCCACGTCCTCCCCCGCTTCTCCCCCCTCGTCCTCCCCTGCTTCCGACCCCTCTGGTCGGCGCACAAAGTAAATACCCGCTGCTCTTGCTGACGGTAGCAGCAACTCAAGGTTTGAAAACTGCAAATCCGCGAAAGCTTTCCCATCCCTTCCAAGCCATACCTGCTCCGTTCCTCGTCGCCCTTCTCTCCCCTCCTTATCCTCCTCCCCTTTATCTCCCTTAACCCCCTCCTTATCCTCCTCCCTCCTATCCTTTTTATCCTTCTCCATACCCTCTACTCGTGATCCTTTCATCCCTGTGGCTGAATGCGACAGCTGCTGCTTTCGAGCGCTCTGCAGAAACCCCCACAGCAGACGCGAGACTTGCTTGCTTAGATGACCGCTTATACATAACCTAGAGGCGTTACATCTGCTTATATCTGGGGTTTGGTGATCACTGATGCTGCTGCTGTTGACCTTGTTGTCGCTGTAGTCATTGCTGCTGCTGCTGCTGCTGCTGCTGCTGCTGCTGTTGGCCGTGGGAATGCTAAGTATTCGAGGACCTTGGGGATGAGTTTCAGCAGAAGATGTTGCTGCTTCTGGAACCGGCCAGTTGACTGCGGTCATGCTCAATAGGAAGAAAGAAATGGACGACACGAGGGGTGAATAATGAATCAATGAATCTGACAACTGGGGGTGGTGCACTCCAATTTCACTGAAAGGTAGCGACCGATTCATTCTGAAATTAAGAAGCCATTTCAAGTAAAGGAACCTGGAGCAAAGAGACCGAGACGGGCCTCAGAGCGTCAATCATGGATTCTCAGACAAAACGGCAAATGTAACTGATCAGAAAGGGAGAGGGAGATTCAAATGGTGCAGTCCCAGGAGCCAGCATGAGAAAAAAACATGAAGAAACTGATCAGAGGAGCACAATCTTACTTGTACTGGTGCTCGCATATGCGAAGAGGACGAAGATTAGGAGCGACATTCGCGACAGGTCTCGTGGTAACCGTGGTAGCCATCGCACTGACAACCACCGAACGGCATGGCTCTGCTGGTTAGCGCAAGAACCCACTGGTTTTCCCATTGACCTAAGAACTTGGTGGGTGATTGTAACAAAACGAATGACGGTTTGGCGCTTAATAAGCAACTGACGTTATGCAGTCCTACTGGATAGAGAATCCGATTGTTCCCTAGCCTGGTTAATCTCTAGACTTCGCAGCCTATTTCTGCGTCAGACTTTGCGAACAGTCGTTGCATTGGAAAAAGATATTCTCAAGAGTGACTCCCGCCCGAATCTTCGCGGAAAGGAGGACTGCTAGTAGCAGTGTCTATGCGCGGTACAAGGCTGTTTCGAGATAAAATACAGGAACGCTTCGTCTCGTCAGAAATCTGCCATTGCCGAGCGGCTGTTGCGACCGTACGCTCCTCATCCTACTAGAGCCTCCAACGGAAACAATGCATTGAACAGCTCACCATAATAAATATTCTAGTGATTGTAAGAGCAAGACGTCGCAGTTCCAACCGCAGTACACAGTTTCAGTTTCAGTGCACGTACAATCGGCAATGGCCGACGACAGGACTGGACGGGAGTCGCTGCGACAAATGAAATATGACGGCAGATGTGACCGTTCCCTGCCACTAGCTACACACCGCCGGGGGTTGGTTGGTTGCAAGCAGTGCAACCCAGAGCACACGGAAAGGGCAAGCGACATACTCGGAATGCGTAGTTGCTTCTATCGAGACAGCCACAAACACGGAATTTGGAGGGAAGGTGGGACCGCAGATAGTCATCAGGTCAGGTCCTTGCGTGCGGAAACAGCAAGGTGAAACTGGCTGGAGTCTGGAAAGGAAACACCTGGAATGAACCGCGTACATTCTAGGGAGTTGTGTTGTGTGTCGTGTAAATTCGTGACTAGTGACTCCCGTCAACAAGATGACCCCGATCACCCCAAGATGACACGAAATGAGCCTCGAGGGACGGGCGGCGAAACCTATTGGTTGAGAGGTGAGATCAACACTTCGCTATTGCAACGGCCAAGGGGCGAGTTTCGTGTTAATTCGAGTGAGAAACTGCCATGTCAGCATTACATCCTCTGGGCTGTCCAGAGCAGAAATATTTTGTCGGATACGCGATATTGCATGGGAAACATGTTGATGGACCCAATGTCTAACAATTTCTTACCTGTTGCTTTGCTTAACGACGGTTTCGGAATCTACATGACAAGAGGAACACGAAGATACTTTTATTGTGCTCAAATGACGAGCATTGTATCTTTTAGTTCATTGTCAGATAATCCGTTTTCACCGTTGGCAACACCTAGGTTTGAAGCACAGGTGGTCCCTGGGATGGCAGTTCCGTTTTATCATACTATCAAGGGTCAAGCTAAGGTGGTGTCGCGCTTCACAACTACCAAGGCACAGACAAAGTCCAAGGCCATGCGCCATATGCATCATCACCCCAGGAAGAAATCAAGGCAGAAGCGTCGGATCTATAAGTCCTCGGTGCTCAGAGCTAACCAGTCAGGCTCTTCAGGCCCGTTTTCGTCACGAAATTCTGATCTCTGTTTCAGTTGCTCTCATCATCGCACCATGCCGCGCCAGCCGAGGAAGGGTGCTCCGCCTGTGACTAAGGTCACGGTCAACGATGCTCGTGAGTCTGCGGCTAAAGGTCACCATTCGGAGCCGGCGACGCCGAAACCGCTGCTGAAGGAAGTGGGTGGGCCTTTCGCGGATGAAACGCGCATCTCACTGGTGAAGAAACTGAACGCGTTGAAGTTCCCGTCCCCGGAGAAACTGTCTGCGGAAGGGGTTGACAGGGCTGAGGAGGAGAAAGAAAACGAGAACGCAGATGAGGTGATGCCGCCGACGGATGCCTCAAGCGTACCTGCGGAAGAGGTGGACGAGGATGAGGAAGAGGACGACGGTTATCTCAGCGATGATCCGGAGGAGCGTTTTGATCCGGTGAAGGCTGGGGAGATCGCTGCTCGCGCCGGCTTCTCGATCACGCTTTTGATCCCGATCAAATACGAAGAGGAGGTGGAGCGGACCATTGACACGGTCAAAGGTCTCTTGGCGCTGTGGAGGAAATATATGTCGGCGCACGTTCTGACAACGACGAAGTGTCAGGTGCTCTTACCTGCCTGGCTGTCGAAGAAGCGTTACGGAAGGCTGCAGGTTACCTTCCAGCAAGCATCTGACGCCAACTATGCGTGGTGTCGCCGAATCGAGCATAAGATGCTGAACGGCGGGGGTATCTACCTTGTTTGGCAGCACCCGGAGAACCCGGTGTACATCCTTGAGCGTGCGACACACCCGGACTCGATTGAGGTCCTCCTGAAGAGTGTGCCGGCAGCTATCACGCCGGAGATGGTGTACGAGTACCTGGTTAAGACGGTGCTGGAGAAGCGCGGGCGGACCCCGTTTCTCAGTGGATCTGCCTTTCATCGGGTGGTGGATCCCGTCACCGGCGCAGATACGGACAAGATTAAAGGGTTGGTCAAGGGCCATCCGGGGGATAAGTATCGCTGGTGGCATCTCCTGATTGATTCGGTGCACCATAAGCAGCTTCTGGTTCACTACCCTTCCCTTTCCTGTGATTTTTGCAACGGCATGCACATGACGAAATTTCATGATGATTTCGTTACGGAGCGTCAGGAGAATATAGGCAAATGGAATCTGACGCTTCAGCGCCTGCATGCGATAAATGGTAAACAGTTGGGAGCTAACCTTGTTTTTCAGGCTGTCGGGGTCCCGTGCGGGTTCGCTGACAGCTGCATCGCTTCTTGCGTGGGCAGCCGCATCCTTACCGCTCGATGCTCGAGTGAAGAAAGTTCTGCGCGATCCGGCTTTAGCGCTGATTTCCACTGGCGGGAGTCGGGAGGATTGGTTATGCGTCCAGGAGGCCTGTGGGAGGGCTCAGGGTTCCAGTTTCACCCAAGCTGTGGAGCATGTGAAGTCGGTTCAGCACTGCACTGCGCTTCTGCAGGGGGGGTCAGCCAGCAGGAAGAGCAAGGGGAAGATGAACCTCATCCCGCTTCGCAAGGAGTTCGGCCTGCAGAAGTAGAGAGGTGTGGATCAGCCGGACGGTTTTGGGGCGGTGAGAGAAACTGTGGGTGGCAAGCGCAAACTCCATGGGTGCAGGTGGAGGGTGATGTGTTACCTGGCTGGCACGAGCAACTATGTGTAGGAGTGGTGTCTCTGTATCAAGCCCGTGGATGCGAAGGGGCTCTGTCTCTGTGTTTTAATGGATAACAACACCCGCAATCTCACCCTGTGCGAGGTCAATGTCAACGGCCTCGGAAGCAACGGCAAAAGAACGGAGCATGCTCATTGGTTTAAAACGATTGCTGACGTGGTGGTACTCACATACACAAGGATAAGTGAAGATCACAATTTTTGGACTCAATTAAAGCCGTCATCGACAGCGGTGGTGGGAAACAGCGAAAGGGCAGGGGGCGTGGCAGTGCTATCCTTCAATGATGAGGTCAAGCTTACAGATGTTGTTACGCATCCCTCAGGAAGGTTGGTGGGTGTCACGGTGGAGTGCGCCCAGGTCACCTTCAGGCTTGTGGCGATGTACCTTCCCGCGCAGGCATGCACCAGGGGAACTTTCTTCCGGAGCTGCCTCCCGCAGTTCGTCCAGGCGCAGCCGGCATCTGCGCACCTGGTGGTGATGGGAGATTTAAACCTAGTGGAAGACCCTGACTTGGATCGGACGTCGCAGTCGGGGTCGGGGAAAGAAAATCAGAGGCTCCTGAGTTTTTGGCGGACGGCGGACCTCAGAGATGTGTTCCGCGTTCTGCACCCATCCAAGCTGGAGTACACTTTCCGGGATAGGGCAACAGGGGCGAGCACGCGCATTGACCGAGGCCTGGTGTCCTTCTCGTTGATAGGGCTGTTGGCGGAGGCGAAGCACACCAAGATACCGAAAGGATTGTCGGATCACTGGTTTGCAGTTAAGTTTGCGCTGGCGGCGGCTGCACCAGTGGACCAGGGCCCTGGACTGTGGAGGATGCAGGCGAAGCAGGCACAAAGGAGAGGAGTCAGTATAGTGACAGCCAACATACTGAAGAAACTTGAAAGGGAAGAGGGGGTGGACCTGGGAAAGAAGCTGAAACTGCTCAGCGTGGGACTGAAGGAGTACTCGAGGGAAGAGAGGAGGAGGGTGAGGGCGACGGTCTCTCACCTTGAACGTGTGGTGGAGTTTCTCCGGCACAAGGTGATGCGGCACCCTGGCGACAGAAGGGCGCAGAATAAGCTGTTGTGCAAGGAGGCTCACCTGGACGCTTACTTGCGGAGTTGCAAGGACAGGATGCAGGTTCTGGCTGGCATCAGGGTGGAGCTCAATGGGGAGGTCCCATCTCCTTACCTGTCGGCGAAGATAAAACTGCGGAAAAAGAGGACTGTCATACGGGAGGTGTCGCATCGGGGAACGGCATATCAGGGGACGAAAGAGGTTTTGAAGGCGGCGGCGGACCACTTCAAATCCGCGTTCAGGAACGTGTTGCCGGAGGAGGAGGTTGACTGGGGTGTTTTCGCGGAGGGAGCGGCGTTCTCAGATGCGGAAGCGGCCCTCCTTGGCGCGGACTGGCTAGAGGCGGAGGTCAAGGAAGCGCTGGAGAGTCTCCGAAAGGGAAAGTCCCCTGGGCAGGACGGGCTGCCGGCGGAATACTTCATCCTGCACTGGGATATGCTGAAGGAGCATGTGATGGGTTTTGTCAATAACTTTGCAAGGACGGGGGAGATGCCGGAGAGCCTCTCAACCTCCGTTACGGTGCTGCTGCACAAGAAGGGGGCGACGGACCAACTGGGGAACTACCGTCCCATCACGCTGCTGTCAGTCATGTACAAATTGATCACGAAGGTTATGGCCTCACGACTTAAAAAGGTGCTGGGCAAGGTGCTGTCAAAGGAACAGCACGGTTTCTTACCGAGGAAAAGTCTGGCGGACGCAGTTTCGGTGGTCGCAGATGCGGTGGAAGCTGCGAACAGCGGTAACGAAGATTGGCTGCTGCTGTTGGTCGACTTCCAGAAGGCCTACGATACGGTCTCGCGGCCTTTCCTCTTCAGGGTAATGAAAGAGCTGGGGGTACCGGAGAAGTTCATCAGTTGGACCATGGGCCTGCATGCAGAGGCAGGAACCAAGATTATCATTAATGGGTGGCTGAGCGAAAGGGTGGAAATCAATAGAGGGGTCAGGCAGGGGTGTCCTCTGGCACCTTACCTCTTTCTCTGCGCGCTGGAGCCGCTCTGCAGAGCTACGCAGCGTAAGGAATTGGGAATCGGGCCACCCGGGCATGCGCCACTCTCGTATGTGGGCTATGCCGACGACACGTCCTTCCTTCTAAGCGGAGAAGAGCAGCTGCGGAAGGCGGTGGAGGTTTTGGAAATTTATGGCAAGCAGTCGGGGCTGAAGGTGAACTGTGACAAGTCGGGGGTAGTGCCGCTTGGCCGCAACAGAGGTGTGCCGGTGCCGGCAGGCATCCCATACAAATGGTATGAGCGGGAAGAGCCGGAACGGCTCCTGGGGGTGTGGATCACGCCCAGCGGTGTTGCTGATCCGTCCTGGAGGAAGGCATACGAAAGGATAAAAGAAGAGTTAAGAAAATGGGAAGCGCAGTACCTCACGACGACGGCAAGGGTAGCGGTCATCAGTTGCTACGTCCTGCCGGTTCTAATGTTTCAGGCGCAGGTGTACTCACCACCGGAGGATTTGTGGGAGAAAATCAGGAAACTCTGCCATGCGTTTGTCTCGGCGGGGGAAGCGGTGGAGGAGAAAATCTTTATCCTCTGGAGTGCGTATCTGGCGTGTCTCCCGCGGAAGGACGGTGGTCTGGGGCAGCTGGACCCAAAGCTCTGCCTCGACGGTTTGGCGATACGCAGAATTGGCAAGTTGCTCGGCGAGCCGGAGGGCACGCGCCGGTGGCTGGCGGAGAAGGCGGCGGGTTTCCCGCAAGGCTGGGCTACTCTGTTCGCACACCCATCTGCGGGGAAGCACTGGCAGGAAGGGAGTGAGAGATGGAAGGCGGCGGTGAAAGTTTTCTGGAAATCGCCGCTATCGTCGTCGCCGGCACCTGCGAATAGATGGGAGGTGGAGGAGGAGTTTATCTGTTTCAACAAAAACATCATGCACAGGGGGGACAGTCCTTTTGGGCATCAGCTAGGCACGGCGGCCCTTCTCACTACGCGCGTAAGAGACCTGCTCACGAATGACGCAGGAGGACGGAGGTGTTTGAAAGAGGAGGTGTTTCTGATGATAGAACTTGGGAGCAAAGAGGCGGCGGTTATGGCACGGAAAGCCTACGGGGCTATGCCTCCGGAGTGGAAAAGGATGGTAGAGGAGCCGGTGTCGGCAGAAGAGGTGGTGGCAGCATCAGGAGTAGTGAGGTACATCCTTCAGGGTCAACCAACCAAGGTTCCATGGGCGGTGAAGGGAGTTGTAGCATCAAAAGTTGTCGCCTCCGCCATGTCGCTCAACGAGGATGGAAGGTTGGAGTCACAAGCGAGGGCGAGGGAGACTTGCTTCGAGGCGTGCAGACTTCAGCCGATGGTGATACAGGGGAGCAGGATGGTGGGGCCGGTGGGCGCCCCGAAAACAAAGCTTCTAGTCAAGCCCGAGCTTTTCGTGGGGGAGGAGCTGGCGCCGTTACGCAGGATACGGGCTGGGCTCACTAAATCAACGGGACGCTCCTGGAGGCAGGCAGAATGGGAGGATGTGTGGGGCAAGAAGATCGACTGGAAACGGGCTATCGAAACCCGTGACTCGATCTGTGTCTCCCTCAAGGCGAGGGATGTGCTCCTCAGGGTGCACAGCATGAACTTGCAGGTGGGGGGAAGGCTGGATTTCTTCCAGAACGGAATCAGCTGCGCACACTGTGGGGGGGAGGAAACCCTAGCTCATTGCCTCTACAACAGTCCAGTCATACAGCCGATCATCGGCGCGCTCAAGAGGTCTTTACAGATGCTGAATCCGGATAGGCCCGTGAGCTCACTGGGAGACCTGCTGTTCGAGGAAGGGGGCACGGTGTCTGGCTTCCCTGAAATGACGTTGACAGCTGCGGTGCTCCGGCAGGTTTGGCTGGCACGATGTAATGCGGTTTGGCGTGCGGCCCCTTTCGAAAGGAAGAAGGTTGGGCGCGGTGCGGTGCTGGATTTCATGACGCATGCGAGAGTGGTGGTGGCATCACGCGGAAAGGTGGTGGTGGCAGGTGAAGAGGGCAGTGTTTGGAGGGAGGACAGGTGGCGCCATATGGCGGCAGACGAGAGGAAGCTTTTGCGGGGAATCTGCGACGAGGAAGGGCCAACATGCTGGACGACCCATTTTCTATCCATCTGGCGCAACCCACGCACCTTTCACCAGCCACCGTAGTTTACCTTAGGGGGGATGTGCGACGCTCCGATTAGCGCAGCCTAGGCCCTCCAAGAATACAGTTACGACTGCGGATGTATCTATGTTTTGATAATATAGTTACAAAAAAAAAAAAAAAAAAAAAAAAAGGGAAACATGTTGCTATCTTAGCTGAAGTTCAAACTAATGCAGATTGCAGCCAAAATAGCTCATATAGAACCCTTACGTAGGGTGAAGGAATAGGAACTTCGTAAATTATCATAGGAAACTTGGACCACCTTTCCAAACCGCAAATGCAGCAGATGCTGCAAATACGGCTCCAGGCCACTGTTACTCCCCCCTGCTCGCAGCAGCTGCCTGTTCAGCCTCCATAAGGGAAAGTGCCAACGCAAGGCGCATTTGCCCTTCAAAATCATCCGGAACAACCAAAGGCACCCCTCCTTGCTCCCCCCCTGCACCCGCACCACCAGCAGCAGCAGCAGCAGCAACACCCACAGCACGAGTGGTGCTCTCACTGCCATCCCCCAGGCCACCCTCCCCACCACCACCAATCCCTCGCATGAGGAAACTCTCAATCACCTCCTCATCATGCGGATCGTCCTGCTGTCGCTGCACCCCCTCCTGCTGCTGAGCCGCTGCGGCTACAGATGCCTGTGAAGGGCCCTGCGTATCACCCACACCCGGACTCTCCCCACCCACATCAGAGCTTGCTGCAGCAGAATTTGACGCGGCACTTGTTGCTGCTACTGCTGCAACACCTGCACCTTCTGTTGTCGCTACTGCTGCTGCTGCTGGCAATGCCTCGGGTGCAGGGACGGACTCTACCGGCCTGGGTGCAGCTACTGCGGCTGTGTCAGTGGCAACTGCTGAAGCTGATGCTGATGCTGATGCTGAAATTGCTGCTGCAGCTGCTGGTGTTGAATCTGATGTGCGGCGAGCTGCCTCTTCTTGATCCTGATGCCGGGTCGAGGAGGGGGGAGAAGCAGGGAAGTGAAAGGAAGAGATTTTTTAGTCAATTAAAAGGGTGTTTCCTTAGTTGACTCAGTAATTGCTGGTGTTGAAGCTGAGTCTGATGTGCGGCGAGCTGCCTCGTCTTGATCCTGATGCCGGGTCGAGGGGAAAGGGGCAAGCGGGGAGGGAGAGACAAATGGACGCCATGAGCAACAGCTGCTCTTCCAAATCCACTCCCAAGAAAGGCAAGAGAAGCAGAGCCCCACAGCAGGTAGCATCAGGAGAGAGAGCGGCAGAGGAAGCAAGGCGTACCTGCAGAGAGAGCGGCAGAGGAAGCAAGGCGTACCTGCAGCGAGAGCCAGATGGCCTCCATGAGCAAGAGCTCCTCCAAATCCACTCCCAGCTCGTCCGCTCTGATGGCACACGGGACACATGGAGCGGGGATGGCGATTGGAGACATCCAACGTAGTGCAAACATCCAACGTAGTGGAAACATCCAACGTAGTGGAAACATCCAACGTAGTGCAAACATCCAACGTAGTGGAAACATCCAACGTAGTGGAAACATCCAACGTAGTGGAAACATCCAACGCAGTGGAAACATCCAACGTAGTGGAAACATCCAACGTAGTGGAAACATCCAACGTAGTGGAAACATCCAACGTAGTGGAAACATCCAACACATAGAGATGGTTGATGCATGGGACGCATGGAGGTGGGGGGAAGGGGGAAGAGGGAGGCATGAAGAGAAATGAGCAAGAGAGGCATGGAGTGGAAAGGCTTGAAGCACGGAAAAGGGTAGTACATGAAAAGAGGATTGGGGAAGCCGAGAAGAGAGCAGCAACGAAAGAACGGCACACGGCTAGTAAGCAGAATTATACCTTGAAGGGGAGAGCCTGGGAGAGACGGTGGATCCATGGCTACTCGCAGCACCCATTGCAGCACCAGTTGCGCCTGGCCCACCTCTCATTGCTCCCACGCCTCTCCCTGACCCCGAACCATATCTTCCCGAACCAGCCCTGGCTCCCACTGCCAAGCCTCCCCCTTCCACCGAGCCTGGGTACCAGGCTCGGGTGCTGCTGCTGGAGCTGCCAGTGGGGGAGGAAACGGAGGCAGCTGTAGCACCGGCTGTAGCGCCAGCACCACCAGCACCAACACCACCAGCACCACCAGCACCACCAGCAGCGCCAGCAGCAGCAGCAGCAGCAGCAGCAGCTCTGCGGCGGACTCGTTCCAAATCCACTGGGTAGAACACGACTTCATTATCACCATAATCACCCCACTCACCAAAGTTTGGGACCACTCCTCCGCCTCCCCCTCCCCCTAACCCTCTCCCCCCTGCTCCCCCTCCTCCCATCCCCCCTCCCCTGCCACCAGCACTCCCTCCCACACCATATGTAGGCATCATGCCCCTAACCGCGCCCCCAACCCAAACCTCACCCCCATCCCCACCCCCTACTCCGCCCGTCCCGCCACCGGCCCCATACCTCCCACCACCATCATTCACGCCTGGAGAATACCCTCCCCCACCCGGCAAATGCAGCTGATTCGGCCGCACCCCCGCTCCCGCCCCTGCTCCCCCTCCTGCAAACGGCCCCTCCCACCAATTGTGACTAGCCGTCTGGTTACCACCGCGGCCGCTGTTACTGCTGGGGCGGGAGGTGGAACGGCCTATGCCCCCCCTTTCTCGAGAGGAGGACGAGGCGGAGGAGGAGAGCTGTAGGGAGGAGCGGAGGACCCCCATGCCTGTGTCGCTGCTGCCACTGGCTGCTGCTGCTGCTGCTGCTGCTGCCGCTGCTGCTGCTTCTGCTGCTTCTCCTGTCTCCCCTGCTGTTTCTCCTGCTACTGACGAAGCACTCGTGGCAGCAGCAGCAGCAGCAGGTGTGGGGGGCGTAGGAGGGGTGCGAGAGGGAGGGGGGGTGGTGGGAGGGAGCGCGGAGGAGGTGGAGGAGGAATTGAGGGAAGAGGCAGCTTCTGTTGCCGCCTGGCGTTCCGCCACCCGTGCTGCATACGCCTCCTCCTCCTCCTGCCGCATCCTTATCTTTGCTTCTATCACCTTCTGCTCCTCCTGTTCAGGATTAAAAAATGGCGAAACACATAAGGAACAAGAACAGAGACAATTCAAGTGTGTGACGCGAAGATGGAGAAAAACAAAAGAAAAAGTAGCCGGCGGGAAAGAACACGAGAGTTCAAACAGAGCAAGCAGCTGTGCAACAAAGGGAGAAAATTTTCTGACTCAACTCAACCACATCATACCTCCAGCTCCACGTTTCTCTCCTCTGCTGTGCGTTTCCCCCGAAATTCCACCGAGAATGTTGGCGCCTTGCAGAACGGACACCTGAGAGGTGACATGCAGCAAGAGAAGCTGATTAGCGGTGATAGAAGGTGATAAGTGGCGAAAGAAAGGTATTCACCAGTGAACGACAGAGGTGACAGAGAGGGGGGAAGGGGTGACAAGGAAATTACGAGTGAAAAACAAGACGAGGAGGAGGAGGAGGAGGAGGAGGAGGAGGAGGAGGAGGAGGAGGAGGAGAGCAGGAAAGAGGAGGGAGAAGAGGCAGTTGCAGAGGAGAGTGAGCAAGGGGGAAAGAAATGAGAGGGCTGGGTGGAACTCACTGCAGCATGCTGGAGGCCGTTGGGGACTTCATTTGCAAAAAGCACTCTGCAAGGGACGTATTAACGAGAAAAGAGACGGAGCGTGTGAACAAACAAACACCAGCAGTTATTAGCGTGTTGAAATTTGGGTCGACATAAAGTAAAAAAGAGACAGAGCGTGTGAACAAACAAACACCAGCAATTATGACCGTGCAGGTGCTTTCACGAAACAGACAGAGTTAAACAGAGTTAAAAATGGCACCGACACGAAACAGTAGCTAGCATACCACGGAAGGGGCAACAATGAGATTTCTTTGCATTCCTTGTTGCGAAGCTGGGTGCGTCAGCTTTGGCTGAGGACGGAGCGAAGCAGAGAAAGAGGCGTTACCTGTGCACATGCCCTTCTTGCAGCATCTCGATCGGTTTAGACATGGATAGTTCTGTCAAAACAAGGAAAAAGATTACAGGAGCGAGGCACAGACAGGCAGACAGGCATCAACTATACAGGAGGACTCCCGAACCATGAGACTGAGGACATCCGAATCACGCAACCCGTGAATTCCGAATCATAACTACGCCACCCATTCAACAGGAGGTCAAACATCGTTACATAGATGACAACACTTACTTCACGCCTGGGGGGAGGGGCAAGGGATTGTTTAGAAAGGAGGTCCACAACCCGTGGCAGCAATGCACGTGCGACAAGCAACCCCGAGACAAGCAATCTCAGCACTATCAGCAAGCAGCACTCATCCTTGTCGCTACTGGGTTCGTCCCCCCCCCAACATGGCATGGAGCGAGAGAGCTAACTTCAAGAATGCTTTTCAAGAGGACTCAGAAAACACTATCGATACTCACGAGAAAACAGATAGGGCATTCGTCCAGGTCGCTGCTGGGCTCGTCGCCGCCCACGTGGCACGGGCTAGCAAGCTTATTCCAGGACGATTTTCAAGTGGACTCAGAAAACACTTTCAGTACTCACAAGAAAACAGATAGGGCATTCATCGAGGTCGCTGCTGGGCTCGTCGCCGCCCACGTGGCACGGAGCGAGCTTAGCGTCGAGAATGAGCCGTCGCAGTTTCTTCAAGTCGATGTCACGGTGCGGGTACAGGCCCTGCGGGTGCGTGTACTGCTCCTCCACCGTATACCGTCGCTTTGTAACCTTGTTACCCATCGCTGCAGATAAGTGGTTCTTCCTGATTCGCGAACCACCTCCGGGTATGATGCTAGCAGTGTAGCAACACTATCCAATCCACACGTTACCAGGTGGAGGTCCGAGAGAAAGGCCCGCGGCCTCGCGCAACCTCCCCAGGGAACAAAGCAACGGCCTAGAGACGCGTTAGTCTACGCGTTAAGCCAACTAAGTAGCGGACCTAATCAATTCACCTAGACTCCTCCGTCGTTAGATTTCCGTTCTAGACCGAATCAGCGAATAACGAAGCTAGGGGAAGTAGACGGAGATAGCATCGCCTTGCCAGAATACAAATCCGGAGATTTCTAAAAAAGCGCTCACGCGTCAAGCTTAAATCACCACGGTCGAAGGCCTGCGAACGCCAGGTTCGGAGCTCTCAGTAGACTGAAGCCAGAACAAGCCATTGCGTGGCTCAAGGTAGGTAGGTTGCGTGGCTCAAGGCACGTTGCGAAATTCAAGGCAGAACAAGGCAGGTTCGCAGCTGCGACTCTCTACTGCAAGGACGCTTCAGTGAAAAGAGCAACCGCAAGCAGGTATTTGTTGGTAGTCGCTATCCTGCCTTTAAAACGAAGCGTTCGTGCTTGTATTAGTTGCAATCAGCGAGCACGTAGCTGCCACCAACCGACGTGCCTTCGCCCTCGTCGAACGAAGCAAGGAAGTCGGACCGTGCGACTAGCAGTAGGTAGGGACCTAAGCCACAGAACTGCAGCTACAGATTCCTAAGGGATTTTCAAACGCTCAATAGCGCTTGCTGATTCGAGAAGGAAGTACCTACAATAGAACAAGCGAAACCTATCTGTGTGGTCCGAAAGATGGCTTCTATTGACTCATTCACCGCCTTTCCCCAAGAGCTTTCTTGTAACATCGGCTGAAGGACATGACTCGTAAGTCATGAACCACACGGAGTTCCCTAGGAATACGGAGTTTCCGAGAATGGCTCTGTGCAGGTTGTGCCTCTCCTGTCCGTGTCCTTCACTCCAAATCCCCTGTGGTCTCTCCTGCTGAAAACACCTTCGAACAGAGGGATTGAGAAAGTTTAGGTTTGTTACATCGCGGTTGGTGGCGGTTATGATGTATGAACTGCCTTCTGCACACCGAACCTCCAATCTAGCTCGAGCCTCTGCAATAGCCCCGTTATGGAAAAACTGACCTACCGTCGAGGCTCCTTTTGATGGTGTGTTGACGGGCAGGTCGCACGGAACGGGTATCCATGGCAAGACGACTAACCGGCGAACACCAAGCGACAGCTGTGCGCCGCCGAATTTCTGCCTTCGCTGTGGGTTATGGTTGTGTCGCTGGGTCGGTTCGGGTTTACACGCGTCGCAAGCGAATGGATGAGCGCGAGTAGGTTCGGTAATCCGAAAGAAACATTGACTGCAGCCGCGACGAAGGGCAAGCTGGAATGGTGCAACAAACCAGAACAAGCGGTTCGCTATAGACATCACTGCGAAAATAATAAGCAGGACATGAATCATGAAGCAATGATTGTAGCAACCTTATGAAGTTGTGGAACATCCCAAGTGGGGCATGCGTGACATAATCGAGCACATCAGATACTTTTCCTATAGTAACTCGCTTAGGAAGGCTAATAACAGGACAGAATCCGTCTTGAGCTTTCCTTTCCTTTCTCCAGCACTTGGGTGCTGGCTCTTAGTAAACCCCTCGTAGACTTCTTTGTAAGTCTCTTAGTGCCAGTGTTTCCCGCGTCGGGCTTCGGTCGTCTCGTGGATAGCCTATCTTTCGGTTCCATTCCGACACTCCCAGCTGCCTAGGTCTCTTGCTACGATGGGGACGAAGCTTCCAACGAAAGAGGCCAATCAGTTCAAGCTTATTGTGGTGCGTAGGCTTAGATTCACAAGCTCCCTCCGTAGTCAATGTCAGGATATTAGGGTCGCTCATCTGTCCACCCAGGCGTCGAAAAATGTGATTTCAATAAAGTTGAAATAGGCTTCGCCGTAATAACGTTCGGCCTAATGGCGTTTGTCCCAACGTCGTTAACAACTGTCTTCTCAATCCCAGCAAGTTTGGACCACCTATCTCGTGATTACGTGGTTTCGTGACTACTCAATTTCTGATCTGCCTGCATTGGTGGACGTCCGTCACTGTCAGCTGATCGGGGTTTTAGTAATATGCGCGCTTCAATGTGGAAGGGTAGAGTGAAGATTCTTCCAGTCCCCTGTTTCTTTCTCGAGGAATTTGCTGCAAATCTAGCCTGTCGTGAAATGGCAGACAAAGATCCAGTCTAGCGCGTATGCTGATTACACCTCCGCGCCTCGTCCCCTAACTCAAATTCAGCTGAGCATAGAAGCTCATGCTCGGCATCACGCGTTGCGTGATATTCCGGCTGTTTGCGAGAATGCTCGGCGCCATTCGTTGCGTGATATCCTCCAAGGCACTGTATCTGCTGGTCTCAAGCCTCGCGGCCCTCCATTATCCCTTCTATCCCTTCAAACCAACCCCGCTATAAGCAGAAATCGTACGAGACGAAGCAGTACAAGAAGGGACTCAAAGCCGCGGATGCGATTCTCAAGAAGTTCCCGGAGCATGGTGGTACGCACGGATGGGACCGGGGTTGTGATTGGGCTTGTGCCTGTGCTTGTTCGTGTGCTTGTGATTGTGTTTTGAGATGAATATGGGTGGTAGGGAAGGCAGAGGGCAGAAGGGAAGGGAGAGCAGGGGGCAGCTGGGTCGAGAGAATGGGGGCAAAGAAATGAGAACTTAAAAGTGATCCCAATGTAGCTGGCTGCGTGCACCCCTTTTGTGAAAGAATCTCAGCTCGTGCCACATAATCGCCCGTCGGAATCCGTCGCCCATGAAGTGTTCCGCGGTGGCTTATATCGAGTATATCTTCTGACTTCCCCGCCCTCAGAGACCCTGGCGATGAAGGGTCTGATTATGAACTGCATGGAGAAGAAGACGCAGGCTTATGAGCTCGTGCGGAAGGGGCTTAAGGTACGGTTTCTCAGGCAAATTGGTTCTTACGAGCTTGTGCTTTCGAGCTGGTGTCTATGATTACCATCCAAGTGCATCTGAGGCAACACGCAAAAACCTCCTGCCGTGTAGATTCGTTTTGAGACGTCTCAATCTCGTATTGTGGTCCTTCCGCCAACCACTCCCCCTCCCTGACCCCACTTCCCCTTCTTCGCCTCCATCTTCCTTGACAGTTCGACCTGTCATCCCACGTGTGCTGGCACGTGTACGGGCTGCTGTACCGGTCGGACCGGGAGTATCGAGACGCCATTAAGTGCTACCTCAACGCCCTGCGCATCGACCCCAACAACCAGCAGATCCTCAAAGACCTCTCGCTGCTGCAGGTGCGCCCACCCGCTGCTGCAGGTGACTCACAGTAAACACATGCGTGCATGCATGCATTTTCAGGTGCATTCTGTGTTTCCAGGCCCTTTTCAAATAGCTGGCGGCCGTTTGTTAGGATTCTCACATCCACCCTGCAATTTCCGTGCACAGGTGCAAATGCGGGACACGGCAGGGTTTGTGGAGTCGAGGCGGCAGCTGCTGACCTTCAAGCCCAACCACCGCGCCAACTGGATCGCCTTTGCTGTCGCCAACCACATCAACGGCAGGTGAGGTGGTGACAGGTGGGTGGGTGATGTGCGTGCGTGGTGTGGCTTGCGGGATGGTGGTGCGGGCGGGCGGGTGGGTGGGTGGGTCATTGACCGGCAGCTGCTGACCTTCAAGCCCAACCACCGCGCCAACTGGATCGCCTTTGCTGTCGCCAGCCACATCAACAACAGGTGGGCTTAATGTGCTGTGGGTTTCATGACAGTGTTAATGTGCAGTGGGGCTAATATTGTGGTGGGGTCATTCACAGGTGGGGTGTTGACCTTCATGCCCAACCACTGCGCCATCTGGCTCAGCTTCGCTGTCACCGCACTCGTGACGCATCCCACCGCACATCGTCGCATCCCACCATACTTTACTGCACTCCATCCCACCGTGCAGGCTGGACGTGGCGTCTCAGATCCTGTCAGCCTATGAGGGCACTCTGGAGGACGAGTCTCCTCCGGACGGGGAGAAGTACGAGCACAGCGAGATGCTGCTTTATAAGGTAACCTTGCCATAATGGGAAATTTTGGCGTACGGTTCCACTGTTTTATGCAACTTTGTCCAGACAAGGATAATCTTGCGTGCAGCAAGACCGAGACGTTGTTTTCTGAAGGTTGAGGATGCCGCAAAATGATAGCGGTTCTAGTGCGTGCTGCTTCCCAGCCTTCAGCACAAAAGTCTGGGCTCTCGATGGTTTGGTCTCTCAATCAGTGAAGCACCTGTGCTGAGCTTTTTTAGGGGTTTGGTTGGATGGGAGCACACGCACGCCTCCTTGAAGCACGAGGCTCGCTTTCCCTCTGCAAGATCTTCTGTCGCCTACCAACTCGTTTGCATCAACAGGATGTTCCGCTGCCTCCATTCCGTCCCGCTTGTTTTGAGACGTCTCAAAACACTTCTTTTTCCACGTGGCTGCAAGATCTTCTGCCGTCTACCAACTCGTTTGCACCAACAGGATGTTCCGCTGCCTCCATTCCGTCCCGCTTGTCCTGCTTCAGGTGTCACTGCTGGCAGAAGCAGGCAAGCACGCGGAGGCCTTGGAGGAGCTGGGCAAGAAGCAGCGCCACATCGTGAGTGGATGAAAGGGGTGAAGGGGGTGAAGGGGGATGCAGTGTACGTTCAGTGAGTAGTGGAGTGAGAGAGTGTGAGGTGTCGCTGCTGGCGGAAGCAGGCAAGCACGCGGAGGCCCTGGAGGAGCTGGGCAAGAAGCAGCACCACATCGTGAGTGGAGGGGGTCAAGGGGGTGAAGGGGTTCAAGTCAAGACTCAAGGGGTTCAAGGGATGCAGGATGTGTGGCTGGGATGGTAGGGGAAGTTTGGGGACTTGGGCGGAGCATTCTGAGTGAGAGTGTGAGCATCTCACTTACCTCTTTGGCGTCCCTCACTCACCACCTTGTAAAGCTTCTCTCTGGTTGCGTTCATGGAAGTCAGTCTAGTCAATACAGAACGTTTTTGAGGCGCCTCAAAAACGACCTTTGGCGTCCCTCACTCACCACCTCAGTCGTCCCATAAAGCGACTCTCTGGTTGCGTTCATGGAAGTCAGTCTAGTCAATTCAGGAATGTCTTCCATCCGTGTGTTAACTGACAAGCTGGGAGTGAGGGAGCAGAGGGCGGAGCTGCTGCACCTGACAGGCTGTCTTGAGGAGGCTAGAAGCGAGTACGAGGCGCTTTTGGCTAAACGTTTGACCTTTCTCCATCCCTGCCTCATCTGTGTGTTCCCCTCCCCCGCAGGTGGACAAGCTGGGAGTGAGGGAGCACCGGGCGGAGCTGCTGCACCTTACAGGGCGTAGCGAGGAGGCTAGAAGCGAGTACGAAGCTCTGCTGGCCATCAACCCGGACAACTACAAGCACTACGAGGGGCTGCAGGCGTGCATGGGGCTGAAAGCGAGTGCTGCGGATGGCAGTTATACGCCGGAGCAGCTGGCGCAGCTAACGGAGCTGTTCAAAGGGCTGCAGGAGAAATACCCCAAGTCCGCTGCTGCTAAGGTGAGACGCAGACTGCTAAAGTGAGAAAGAAAGTGGTCTTGCAGCAAGGGTGGGAGCTTGTTTCTTCTCTGATCCCACTTAATTAACAAGAGGTCCTCCCCCTCCGTGCTGCGCTCACTCACTCACTCACTTCCGCTAGAGAGTACCTCTGTAAATGCAACTCGGCCTTGCATCCTCGGGTCACCGACTGGTGACTGGCGACTGGTGACTGGCGACTGGTGACTGGCGACTGGTGACTTGCGACTGGGTGTTTTCCACTTATCCCTTCTCAACTCAAGTTCCCTTCCCCTTCTGTGCCGCTCTCACCTTTCACCAGAGAATACCGCTGGACTTTCTCCAAGGGGCAGACTTCGAGGCAGCCTTGCAGCCACACGTGAGGCGGTTCATCCGCAAGGGCATCCCCTCGCTCTTCTCCGACCTTGAACCGCTCTACGACCAGCCAGGCAAGGTGAGCAGAGAGAGAGGCAAGGTGGGCAGAGGGAGAGGCAAGGTGGGCAGAGGGAGAGGCAAGGTGGGCAGAGGGAGAGGCAAGGCAAGGAGGCGGGCTTTTGAGTCGACTCATACGTGAGGCGGTTTACTCGCAAGGGCATCCCCTCCCTCTTCTCCGTCCTTGAACCTCTCTACGACCAGCCAGGCAAGGTGAGCAGAGAGAGAGGCAAGGTGAGCAGAGAGGCAAGGTGAGCAGAGAGGCAAGGTGAGCAGAGAGGCAAGGTGAGCAGAGAGGCAAGGTGAGCAGAGAGGCAAGGTGGGGAGGGCGGTTTCTGAGTTGACTCAGACGTGAGGCGGTTTATCCGCAAGGGCATCCCCTCGCTCTTCTCCGATCTTGAACCGCTCTACGACCAGCCAGGCAAGGTGAATAGAGAGGTGGGGAGAGAGGTCAAAGTGACGTGATGACTTGTGAGTCAATGCAACGGCATCCCCTCCCTTTTTGACTGCGAACCTCTCTACAACCAGCCAGGCAAGGTGAGGATGAGAAATGTGAAGGAATGGATTATGAATCAGTCTGCAAGCAATGGTGGGAAGGTGACTCTTGAGTCGATGCAACAGCATCCCCTCCCTTTTCTCCGACCGAACCTCTCTACAACCAGCCAGGCTGACATCATGGGCCGTGTGTTCTCAGCCATGCTCCGCTCCACTCTATCCGCTCTTACAGCATGATTCCCCTTCTCATGCTCTCTCGTCACCCGCCTTCCTTTCATGTTCCTGCATGGCAATCAATCCTCGACGCACAGCTGGCCATCATAGACCGTGTCTTCACAGCCATGCTCCACTCCACTCCACCCCATCGACCCGCCAGCATGATTCCCATTCTCATGCTCTCGAGACACGCGCCTTCCTTCCCCGTTCCCCCGTGCACCCCCCACCCCACAGGTGGCCATCATGGGCCATGTCTTTACAGCCGTGCCCCACTCCATCGCTCCTTCATCAGAATTCGCATTCTCATGTTCTCAATTCTCCCTCTGATTTTCCAGTGCTCGAAACCCATTGCACCCCTTGTCGCACAGGTGGACATGATGGGTTGTGTCTTCACAGCCATGCCCCACCCATTCGGTGTTCTCCTTTCTCCCTCCTATTTTCCACTGCTCCAAACCCCATTGCACCCCTCCGGACCGCACAGGCGGACATCATGGACAAGGTCTTCACAGCCATGCTCCACTCCATTCGCTCCTCCGGAAAATTCCCTCCTCTCAGGTGCCCTCCTCTCAGGTGCCCTCCTCTCAGGTGCCCTCCTCTCAGGTGCCCTCCTCTCAGGTGCCCTCCTCTCAGGTTCCCTCCTCTCAGGTGCCCTCCTCTCAGGTTCCCTCCTCTCAGGTGGCCTCCTCTCAGGTGCCCTCCTCTCAGGTTCCCTCCTCTCAGGTGCCCTCCTCTCAGGTGCCCTCCTCTCAGGTGCCCTCCTCTCAGGTGCCCTCCTCTCAGGTGCCCTCCTCTCAGGTGCCCTCCTCTCAGGTGCCCTCCTCTCAGGTGCCCTCCTCTCAGGTGCTCTCCTCTCAGGTGCTCTCTCTAGCGCTCTAGGGCTCAGCTCCGCCTCTCTACGTTCTACCCATTTATCCAAGCTTGCTTATACCCATGGACGTCAGCCCATTTTCCTGATATTCGCGGCAGCTTTCCTTTTTGCCGCCAGCTTGCTGCTCACCTCATGTTTGATCATTCTCAAACGTTTCTGGGTGGATGGGTGTATGTCTGGTTCCACTTTTGAGGCGCCTCAAAAGTCGTTTCTGGGTGGATGGGTGTATGTCTGGTTCCAAATGGAAGTGGAACCAGCCAGGTATGTTCTACGCCCCACATTTGATCTCTTCGTCACTAGACAGTTGTCTTTTTTCAGTTAGATAGAGGATTCGCCAGGTGATTTCCCCGGCCTATGCACTCCAAATGTTTTCCTTGCACACGTGGGTTCATATCTTGTTTGCTTCTGTGATTCTGTTCTCTGCCGCCCGTCCCATCCCTTGTCCATCCCTCCAGTGACTCGTCAGCAGAAGAGGACAAAGAAAACCCCTCTGTGCTTCTCTGGCTGCTGTATCTTATGGCTCAGGTATAGGGTTTAGGGTTTAGGATTCCCCTGTGTGGCTCTTGAATACGTCAAATTAGTTGACGTCAGAAGAGGACAAAGAAAACCCCTCTGTGCTTCTCTGTACGCATACATCCCCCTATGTGACTTCACATAGGATTCCCCTATGTGGCACTTGAATACGTCAAATTAGTTGACGTCAGAAGAGGACAAAGAAAACCCCTCTGTGCTTCTCTGTACGCATACATCCCCCTATGTGGCTCTTGAATACGTCAAATTAGTTGACTTCAATTTATTTCCTGCTGGTGGAGCTATATCTATATGATTCAGGCATAGTTTTGATTGAGGCGCCTCAAATCTAGACTTTTCTGCTGGTGGAGCTATATCTGTATGATTCAGGCATTAGACACCGTTGCGGAAGTAATCTCCGTTATGTCTTTCCCTCTTTCTCTGTCTCTCGCTCTGCCCTGATTCGCAGCATCTGGACAGGAGGGGCAAGGTGGAGGAGGCATTGGCGATCGTAGACGAGGCGATTGCTCACACGCCCACACTCATGGATGCCTACCTGGTCAAGGTGGGTGGGTGGGTGGGCGGGCGGGCGGGTGGGTGGGTGGGTGGGTGGGTGGGCACTAGTCGTACCAAGGTGCGCACGAGTCTGCCTTGGTGTACCATATACAGCAAAGGGCAGTGGGCATGATATGATATCCCAAACCCCTCCCTTATTCCCCTCCCTTTCCCCTCCCCCCCTCCCCCCCCCCCCGCCCGTCTTTTCTTTCTGTCTACCACCAAGCGCGCATCCTGGTGACTTCACAAGGCGGATTCTCTTTCTGTCTAGTCGACCACCAGGCGGGTGACTTCAAAGCAGCAGCGCAGCTGAGAGGTGTATTTTGAGGCGCCTCAAAATACACCTCACTTTTCTTTCTGTCGACCACCAGGCGGGTGACTTGATAGCAACAGCGCAGCTGCCAATCCCCCAAAGCCCCACCCCCCTGCCTTCTCCTCTTCCCCTCAACCCCCTCCCCTCCCCCTCTCTCTTGTCTCTTTCTCTTCCGCTTTACGACCAGGCGCGTATTCTGGACAGGGCGGGGGACTTCACAGCAGCAGCGCGGCTGGCAGACGAGGCAAGGAGCTTGGACCTGGCGGACAGATACCTCAACTCGGAGGCCGTCAGGCACATGCTCAGGGCCGACCAGGTGGGGTTGGGTGGTGGGGCTGGGTGGTGTGGTTGGTTGGTGCTCTTGGGTGGTATGGCCTGTTTGAGTAGTGAGACTTGAAAAGCGCCCGGTAGTATGGAGGGAGACAAGGCGAGATGCTTGGATCGGATCCGGCTGACAGGTACCAAGCTGCTCAGATCAGAAGCGAAGCGGTCTCTGCTAAGCTGCTCACCTTTGATACCTGATCCAGCTCACAGATACCTCAACTCAGAAGCGAAGCGGTCAGGCATTTGCTCAGGCCTGACCAGGTAGGGATGGAAGGCAGCAGAAGGGGGGCGACCCAGAATGCATGAGGTATGGTAATCAGGGAGGAGAGGAGAGTGTTTGGGTGTGGCTGAGATACAAGTCAAACGCTTCTGCTCGTGTGCTTGCTCATCTCTCCCTCCCCCTGTCCTCGGTCATGCGCCCGTGTGTATCTCGACTCGACTTTTGGGTCGACTCAAAAGTCACCCCATGTGTATCTCGACTCGACTTTTGGGTCGACTCAAAAGTCACCCCATGTGTATCTCGACTCGAACTTCATCCGTGTGTTCCCCCCTCCCCCTCCTCCTATCTGGGTGCGTGTGTATGGGTTCAGGTGGATCTAGCAGAGAAAACAGCAGCGCTCTTCACCAAGCACGGCGACCAGCATGAGAACCTCTTCGACATGCAGTGCATGTGGTGGGTGCATTGCGGTGCATGTGGGTGCAGTGCGGTGCATGTGGGTGCAATACGGTGCATGCGGGTGCATGCAATGCATATGATGAATGTGATGTGATGGTTGTAACGCATCCCACCCACCCACCCTCCGTGCCCCATCCCATGGCACCGCCACCGCTCCGCACAGGTACAACCTGGCGGGTGGCTGTCTCCACGTACTTCGATGCCCGACTTTTACCTGCAGCAGAGCAACTTCAGCCGGGCATCGAAGAACGTCAGAAGCTACATGTGTTTTGGAACCTCAACATAACCGCATCCCACCCCATCCCATCCCATCCCATCCCATCCCATCCCATCCCATCTCACCCCACTGCTGTGTGCGTGCAGGTACGAGCTGGCGGGTGGAGACAGCTACCTGCGGCAGAAGAACTACGGGCGGGCCTTGAAGAACTACCTCTCAGTGCACAAGCACTACAATGACATGGTCAGTGCGGTGGTTCAATGAGCCGTTTCAGATGTCACACGGTCAGTGTGGTGGTTAACAGGTCACATGCTGCAAGCACCGGGCCTTGAAGAACTACCTCTCAGTGCACAAGCACTACAATGACATGGTGAGTGTCGCTGGAGCATGGGTGCCGTCTTGCATGCTGCATGGTTCAAGCACCCACGACAAGCACAGGGCCTTGAAGAACTACCTCTCAGTGCACAAGCACTATAATGACATGGTCAGTTCAGCGTTCGGCGTGTCACATGGTGAGTGTGCCTTTGAGGTGTGATGGTAAAGAGCTACCTGGCAGTGCACAAGCACTACAACAACATGGTCAGTGCGGCGTTTGGCGTTTGGCATGTGATATGGTGAGTGTGCCTTTGAGGTGTGATGGTAAGGAGCCACCTGGCTGGCAGTGCACAAGCACTACACCAACATGGTCAGTGCGGCGTTTGGCACATCACATACATGGTCAGCAGCGCGTTGTTTGGCATGGCATGGCATGTCACATGGCTGGCCAGTAATGTGCACCAGTGCATGCGTCTCACTCTCAGGGTCCTCTGAGTGGAGGTCTGTCTGTCTGTCTGCTCTGCTGCCCTGCTCTGCTGCCTTGCTCTGACTCCCATTCCTTCCACCCCTCTCCCCACTCCCCCCCGTCTCCACCCCGCCAGATCGAGGATCAATTCGACTTCCACACCTACTGTCTGCGCAAGATGACCCTCAGGGCCTACGTCGCCACTCTCCGCTGGGAGGACCATCTTCACGCCTCGCCCTTCTTCTGCCAGGGCGCCGTGGGCGCCGTGTGAGCTGTGCGGTACCATGCGGTGCTGTCTGGTGCTGCAACTCCCCTCGCTTTCTCTCACCCTCCGCCACCCACCCGCTTCCTTTCCTTTTCTCACATCTCCCCCCGCCAGATCGAGGATCAATTCGACTTCCACACCTACTGTCTGCGCAAGATGACCCTCCGAGCCTACGTGGCCACCCTCCGCTGGGAGGACCACCTTCACGCCTCACCCTTCTTCTGCCAGGGCGCCGTGGGCGCTGTGCGGTGCTATGTGGCTCTGCATGACCGGCCGGTGGTGAGGGAGGAGGCGAAGGAGGAGGACAAGGCCAAGATGAGCGGGGCGGAGCGGAAGAGACTGCAGAAGGAGCAACGGAGGAAGAAGGTGAGTGAGCGAACGGGTGTGTTCGGGAAGGAAGGGTTGGGGCAGGTGGGAAGGTGAGAGATTGAAGAAGGAGCAGTGGGAGGGGGGAAGAGCCATGTTGACCTGCGCTGCTCAACCTCCCCTGTATTCTCCATTGCTCTTTTTTGAAATACCTTTCCACCCCTGCCCTCCTGTGTGCATTGCTCTGTGCCCTCTTGTTTCCCGTTTGGGTAAGCAGGAGGAAGAGGAGGCAGCAGCAGCTGCTGCAGCGGCGGCAGCGGCAGCAGCAGCCAAGGCAGCCAAGAAGGGAGGTTCGGCCAAGCCTGTCGATGCCGACCCTGATGGGGTGAAGCTCACTGAGGTGCGTGCTTTTGCCTGAACGATACGGTGCTATGCGGTGCTGTGCATGTGTGTGCATGTATGTGCATGTGTGTGCATATGTGTGCATGTGCTTTCTGTGATTGCTGACCATCATCCATGTGTTGCTGTGCATGCATGCATGCATGCATCAGTGTGACATGCATGAATCAAAGCACCTTTCGCTGCTGCTGCTGCTGCTACAGCACGTGGGGGGGTAACCTTTGTACTGACAATATGTCAAAACACCACTACTTCCATTCGCGCAGGTGGAGGACAAGCTAGCAGAGGCCTCCAGGCACCTCTCGCTGCTGCTGCAGCACGCCAGCTCGGACCTACCTTTCAGTCCACTCAAATCTCACCACACCACCACCTTTTCTTCCCAAAGAGGTGACTTTTGATCCGACTCAAAAGTCATCTCACCACACCACCACTTTTTCATCCCACACCTCGTTCAGGTGGAGGACAAGCCAGCAGAGGTGTCAAGCACCTCTCACTGCTGCTGCAGCCGGCCCGGAGCTACTGTTTGAGTCAACTTGTATCACTTCTGACCACGTGTCTGTGTGAACTCATTCCTCCCACTCGTGCAGGTGGAGGACAAGCTAGCAGAGGCCTCCAAGCACCTCTTCTTGCTGGTGCAGCACGCCGGCTCGGAGCTGATCTTTACAGTCAGACTAAGATAAGCTCAATACACCCACCCACACCTCGTTCAGGTGGAGGACAAGCTAGCAGAGGCCTCCAAGCACCTTTCTCTGCTGCTGCAGCAAACCGTGAGATGACCTTGGAGCATCGGATAAAAAGTGTGTCTACACACTTTGATTCCCATTTGCGCAGGTGGAGGACAAGCTAGCAGAGGCCTCCAAGCACCTCTCGCTGCTGCTGCAGCATGCCGGATCGGAGCTCTCGTCGCTGCAAGTGGCGTTTGACGTGTTCTCGCGGAAAAAGAAGCTCCTGCTGTGCCTGCAGGTGAGTCTTGGCCTGCAGGTGAGTCTTGGCCTGCAGGTGAGTCTTGGCCTGCAGGTGAGTCTTGGCCTGCAGGTGAGTCTTGGCCTGCTTGTCATTGTCTTACTCACATGCCTTGTGTACTCACATGCCTTGTGTACTCACATGCCTTGTGTACTCACATGCCTTGTGTACTCACATGCCTTGTGTACTCACATGCCTTGTGTACTCACATGCCTTGTGTACTCACATGCCTTGTGTACTCACATGCCTTGTGTACTCACATGCCTTGTGTACTCACATGCCTTGTGTACTCACATGCCTTGTGTACTCACATGCCTTGTGTACTCACATGCCTTGTGTACTCACATGCCTTGTGTACTCACATGCCTTGTGTACTCACATGCCTTGTGTACTCACATGCCTTGTGTACTCACATGCCTTGTGTACTCACATGCCTTGTTTACTCCTGAGGGTCCCAACGTGCTCCCTCACTTGCTCCCTCACTTGCTCGCTCACTCCCACTCACTCTCACTCACTCACTCACTCACTCACTCACTCGCTCGCTCACAATGTCACTTCCATCCTCCTCTGTCTCATCGCGCTCTCCTCTGTGCCTCAGGTGGTGCGGCGGTTGCTCAAAGAACATCCACATGCACCCCTTACACACTCGTGCCTGGTACGTATGTGTGTGCATGTGTGTGTGCATGTGTGTGTGCATGTGTGTGTGCATGTGTGTGTGCATGTGTGTGTGCATGTGTGTGTGCATGTGTGTGTGCATGTGTGTGTGCATGTGTGCGTGTATGTGTGTGTGCATGTGTGCGTGCATGCGTGTGTGTGTGTGTGTGTGTGGATGTGTGCGTACGTGCATGTGTGCGTGTGCATGCATACATCCACATGCACCCCTTACACACTCTTGCCTGGTACGTATGTGTGTGTGCTTGCATGTGTGCATACATGTGTGCATACATGTGTGCTTGCAAGATGCACATGCGCCCATCACCCTCTCCTGCCTGGTATGTGTGTCACTTCCCCTCCACCCCATCCCATCCAACCCATCCCTGCTTCACGACCGCATCCACCCCATCCAACCCATCCCAACCCCACACCACTCCCCACCCCAACCACCACAGGTTCGGTTCTTCCTCACAGTGCGTGACCTTCCCCCGGCAGAATCAGAATCAGATAAAATCGTCCGTGCAGTCATCGAAGCTGAGAGGGCTGATCTCGGGTGGGTGGCACAAGGGGGACCAGGGGGGTAGGGGGGTATTGGTGGGGGTATGGGGGGCAATGGTGAGGGCGAGAGTGCTCGTTCATTGGGTCGTTGTGGGGGTCCGGACGTGTGCGTCAGTGTGAGTGCTCTTTCCTCGTGTGCTTGCTTGCCCTTTTGTTTTTTTTTTCAAACGCATTTACCTTCTCTTCCCCTGCCCTTTCTGCCCCCTCCCGCCCCTCCTCTTCCTCCCACCCACTCCTACCCCTTCTACCCACTCGTACCCACTCCTACTCCTGCCTACCCCCCCAGTATATCTGAAAACCTGTCAGCAAGCTTGCAAGAACGCAACGAGGCCTTTTTGGAGGCACACAGAGGTGCGAAGCTGCTGTTACTCTCCCTTGTGTATCTTTCCAGACGTCTCCCCTCTGCTCTGTCTCCTGGCTTGGGTTCTCGATTGTCCCTGCTTCTCCCCCTTCCCTTTCTTCGCTCCCTCTCTCCACCCCTCCATTCCAGTCTCATGATCATGCTGTGTTCTGTTGGACACTCGGTCAGTGCACCACCATACCACCACCATACCATCACAATGTCATGTGACGATTTTTGAGGCACCGAAGAAATACACCATCATGCCACCACCATACCATCAATATGTCATGTGCCACCCCATAGCACCCCGTCTCCCCTCGTGTCACCATCAATCCATCTCCATGCCTCCCCATCCACCCCAACGCCACCACCATGCCATGCGAGCAGATAGCTTGCCGCACAGGGCAGCAGCAGCGGAGGCCATGGCCATGCTGGATCCCTCCCTCAAGGCGCGCGCCACTGCCGTCATCCACGACTCGCAAGAGCCCCTGGCGAAGAGGTAAGGCCTAGAGTGCATTGCAGCAGGCAAGCAGGGATCATCCGGTATGCGCCTTTCTCCACCACAGACAGGGCAGCAGCAGCGGAGGCCATGGCCATGCTGGACCCCTCCCTCAAGGCGCGCGCCACTGCCGTCATCCACGACTCTCAAGAGCCGCTCGCCACAAGGTAGGTCCTACAGTGCAGCCTACCGGTTCATTATATATACAGGGGCCTCACAGACAGGGCAGCAGCAGCGGAGGCCATGGCCATGCTGGACCCCAAGTCTCAAGCCGCGGGCTCTCTCTGTCAAGACCTCATCACACGACTTGCAAGAGCCCCTCGCCACAAGGTACGACCTACATTGCATTGCCTTACTCCCATACCTCACTCCCATACATCACTGCCGTACCCCTCTCCCATACGTCGCTCCCATACCTCACTCCCATACCTCACTCCCATACCTCACTCCCATACCTTACTCCCATACCTCACTCCCATACGTCGCTCCCATACCTCACTGCCATACCTCACTGCCATGCCTCTTTCCCATACGCCGCTCCCATACCTCAACCAGTGCATGGCTTTTGAGGCGCCTCAAAAGGCGCACTTGTGACACTCTTCAGCTCCTCTCCCCTCCTGCCCCCTCCTCCCCCCTCCTGCCCCCTCCTCCCCCCTCCAGCCCCCTCCTTCCGTCTCCCTCCTCCCTTGCTGTTACCTCCAGTGGCGGAGCATTGGTGAAGGGAGTGGGAGAGTGGTCCCTAGACCAGTGAACGACTTTTGAGGCGCCCCAAAAGGCGCGTGTGTGACCTCTTGAATCCCCCACCCTCCCCACTCCCTCCTTCCTTCCTCTCCCTTCCTCCCGTGCTGTTGTCACCTCCAGTGGCGGAGCATTGGCGGAGGGAGTGGGCGAGTGGTCCCTAGACAAGTGCACAGCTTTTGAGGCTCCTCAAATTCACGTGTGTAACCTCGTGAATCCCCCTCAATCCTTCATTTTCCCCTCCTGTTGCCTTTAGTGGCGGAGCATTGGCGGAGGGAGTGGGCGAGTGGTCCCTAGACCAGTGCACGGCGGTGCATCGGCTGCTGCAGGAAGGCCCTCTTGCTGATGAGGCGGCTGCACAAAGTGAGTTGTGAATTATCTCGGAGAGTTTAGTAAGCTTGTCATAATGTGTGTCGTTTCGAGTGCACTGCAATGCATCGACAGTTGCATTACGGCCTTTCGGCCGATGACTGGTGTGCAGAGCGATTTCCCTACTCGCAGCACTTTGAGGGGAAATGCTTGAGTCGACTCTAAGATCTCTCAACACCCCTCATCCCCAACACCCAGGATGGAACGACCGGTGTGCGGAGCGATTTCCCTACTCGCAGCATTTCGACGGCAGCAAGAGCTCCGCGAAAGCACCACCACCGGTGGCTGATGGCGGTGATGAGGACGGGGAGGAGGGCAGTGCTGCTGGTGCTGCTGCTGGGGAGAACGGGGCGGTGGAGTAGGGTGTGGAGTGGTGGAGTAGGTAGGGTGTGCGGCGCGCTTTCTCTACTTGCAGCGCTTTGAGGGGAGTAAGAGCTCTGTGAAAGCACCACCACCGGTGCTGATTGGGGGGCGGAGGACGGGGAGGAGGGGAGCGCTGCTGCTGGCGCTGCTGCCAGGGATAACGGAGTGGTTGGGTATGGTCTGTGGTGGTGGATTAGGGTGTGCGGTGGTGGAGTATGACTCCAACGCTAAAATGATGGGTTGTTGTAACAGCCTTTCCAGCGTAGGTTGGCTGGTGGTGTAGGAATGAGATCGACATGCCAAAAATCAATAAAATAATTGGCATGATGTGTGGCGTGGTGTCGTTCGTACACCGTTTCACCTCAAAACATTACGATTCCAGCCCAGTTGTTACTTCTTCCCTTATCGCTGCCAGTGCACATGCACCACAGCAAACACGAATTAGAACCCATGGTGCCAGGCCCTCAGAAGTCAGCGAAAAAAGGCTGATTAGGGGTAAAAAGGCCGTGATTTCAGTGGTGGGGGAATAGTGGGGCTATTGTGGCAGCCTTCTTTTAAGTGTGTTTGCTGAAAGTTCAGGTTTTTTTTATCTGTCTGTGCTGAATGTTGTATGGGGGTCTGTCAAATGTTGTAGCCTGTAGTGAGGCTTGTCTAAGGAGGTACAAATATTAGGGTTTGCTATATGTACCCCAACCCACATCAATGAACACACAATTCAGTTTCTGACATTGTATCACCTAGGTTAGGATCCTATAGGATCCCGTTCCTCTTGCCCGAGCCTCACGCGCCTCACCCGTCCCGTCTTGCCTCGTAACGCTGCAGTTGCGCCCCTTTCGTACGCCCGTCCGCCGCGCGCCTGCAATCACGCTTGCTGCAGCGCGTTCTGCCCGTTCTCGCGCCCGTCCCCGCGCGTCGCGCCTTGCTGCAGCCCGCGCGTCGCGCCCTGCTGCAGCCCGCGCGCCGCGCACTCCTGCAGCCTGCGCGCCGCGCCCTGCTGCCCGCGCGTCGCGCCCTGCTGCAGCCCGCGCGTCGTGCCCTGCTGCCCTGCACAGCGCGCGCCCTGCTGCCCGCGCCGCCCAGGCCGAGTCGCGCCGCCCAGCACGAGCCGCCCTGCCCAACCCGATCCAGCCTGCTGCTGCTGCTACTTGTGGAGGTACTGCTAGGAGTACTGGAGGTGCTGCAGCCTAGCCTCGCCGAGCCGCTCTACTGCTCTTACTGCTACTGCTGCTACTCGTGCTACTGCCTTCACTTCGACCTGCCCTAGATGTCACGCTCCTCCTAGCTTGCCCGCCATGACTTCACTCTGTAGCAGCAGTGGGAGTGGTGCCGGCGGTGGTGGCAGCAGTGGGAGTGGTGGCGACTGTAGTAGCAGTCATTGTGGCGCTGTTCGGTGCGGAGTTTCTAGCAATGGCCAGATGCAGCTACAGCGGCGTCCGATCATTACGCCCCAGCAGCTTCGTGAGTGGCTTCACCAGCGTGGGACGTCTCCGTGTCCTGGTCGCTGCTCGTACGTCATTCGCACAGGTCGTCGAGCTGGTCAGACCTGTGGGACACCTGGTCACGCACAGTCGCGCTGCTTCTCCTATTTGAGTGACGCTTGGCACGCAGAGTTTGGAGACGAGGCTGAGATCCCCCACTGGCTTGAGCTGCTTAGGTCGGACGTGATGTCTTTGCTTTAGACCATGATGCCATCCTTACTGTATGCTTTGCCTGGTGGTGCTGAGGGTGACTGTTACCTGTGTGTGAAGCACGACCCCAGTACAGAGGTTACTGCTCTAGGTGCTAGTGATGCTACTGCCTTAGGTGCTAGAGAGTCTGCTCTCTCAGGTACTGCGCCTACTGAGGCCTTGCACACCTTCACGCTTGACTCAGGTGCTTCCCGCTGTTTCTTTTGCGACAATACCGCACTCACGCCACTTCCTGCACCTGTTGCAGTGTCTCTGGCTGACCCCTTAGGGGGCCCACTTCTGGCACGGTCCACCACTGTGCTCTCGTGCCCGGTGGTTCCGTCTGGCTCACTGACAGGCCTCCACCTCTCCTCGTTCTCTACGAACTTGGTGAGCAATTCAGTTCTCTAGGACTAGTGGGTTGACACCTTTACCCCTGGAGGACAGCGTGTGGCGATCTGTACGTGCTCACGGATTGGCCGCCACCTGGCCACGCTTACCCGTCGGCCAAGGTCGAGTCTTTACACACTAACGACTGCGCCTCCTCAGGTAGCTGCTACTGGTCAGGTGTCTGCGTCCGGTCAGGCAGCCTCCCCTTGTGAGTGTCGCTCCCTGTCACACCAGACTCTTCTTTGGCACCACCGTCTGGGTCACCCCTCCTTGCCACGTCTACGTGGCATGCAGCGTCGCCTCCTTGTGTCTGGTCTTCCCCGGTCTCTCCCTCCCCTCCCTGACTCGCCTGCGCCGCCCTGCCTTCCTTGTGCCGAGGGGCGGCAGCGCGCCGCTCCTCACTCCTCGTTTCCCCCCAGAGAGGCTCCCCTGCAGACCCTCCACATGGACGTGTGGGGCCCAGCCCGCGTTCGTGGACTGGACGGCGAGCGGTACTTTCTGCTGGTTGTCGACGACTACTCGCGTTACACCACGGTCTTCCCCTTGCGCACCAAGGGTGAGGTCCCTGCTTTCCCGATCCCTTATATCCGAGCAGTTCGTCTCCAGCTCCGCCGCAGGTTTCGCCAGGACCTCCCTGTTTTGCGTCTGCACTCTGACAGAGGTGGTGAGTTCTCCTCCGACCTCTTGCGGGCCTTCTGTTAGGGGGAGGGCATCCTCCAGTCGTTCATGCTTTCGGGCTACCCGCAGCAAAATGGGGTTGCTGAGCGCCGCATTGGCTTGGTCATGGAGATCGCTCGTACCTCCTTGATCCATGCGGCAGCTCCCCATTTTCTATGGCCGTTTGCGGTCCGGTACGCCGCGTAGCAGCTCAACCTCTGGCCCCTTGTCTCCTTGCCGGAGACCTCGCCCACACTGCGTTGGACGGGAGAGGTTGGCGATGCGTCGCGTTTCTGAGTCTAGGGTGCTCGTGCCCTTGTCTGCGATACGTCCACGGACAAGCTCTCCTCCCGCACCATTCCCTGTGTCTTCCTTGGCTTTGTCCCTGACGCGCCTGGCTGGCAGTTTTACCACCCCACCTCGTGGCGTGTCTTCCCCTCTCAGGACGTCACCTTTGACGAGTCAGTTCCTTTCTACCGTCTCTTCCCCTACCGCACTGCCCCTCTCCCTCCCCCGCCGCTTTTCCTTGCTCCAGGTCCCCCTCCGGTAGACCCCCTCCCCCCTCAGGGTCCTGCCCCTTCAGGTGTGTCTCAGGTAGACCCACTCCCCTTGGCTGAGCCTGTAGAGGTCACTAGCGACTCATGTGCTGCTGTGGGTGGTGCTGCTCAGGGTATTGCGTCTGGGGGTGCTGAGCCTGTGCGTGAGGTGCTTAGGGGTGCGGAGCCTGGGGGTGCTGAGCTTACGAGTGCGGAGCCTGGGGGTGCTGAGCCGGAGAGTGCTGAGTCTGGGGGTCTCTCTTCACGACGGGGTCCTCTCTCACCACACGAGCTACGAGAGTGGCTGGCGTGGCGTACCCGCCTGAGGAGTCGTGCTGTTGGTGCTGGAGGTACTGCTGCTCGAGGTGCTGCGGTTGGAGCCACTGGAGCTGCTCGTCGTGGAGGCGCTGGGGGTGTTGGCGCTGAGGGTCCTGGAGGTGCTCGTACCGGAGGTACTCGAGCTGCCGGGGTCCGTGGTGCTGGAGGCATCGGAGCTGGAGAGTTGGAGTTCGAGACCTTGGAGCTGGGGGTGCTGGCCCAGGGGGTACTCAGTCTGTTGGTGCTGAGCCTAGGGGTGCTGAGTCTGCTGGAGGTCCTCCTGGTGCCGCGTTGCAGCGGTCACCTCTCTCGCCACGGCAGCTGCGCGAGTGGCTTGCTTCGCGCACCCGCCTTCGGAGTCGCGCTGCCGGAGCTGGAGGCACTGGAGCTGGAGGCGCTGGAGCTGGAGACCCCGGGGCTGGAGGTGCCAGTTCTGGGGGTACTGCTGCTGGAGACACTGGAGCTGGGGGACCTGGAGCTGGTGCTGTCGACCCTGGAGTTGGAGACCCTGGAGCTGGAAGTGCCGGTTCTGGGGGTGCTGCTGCTGGGGGCACTGGAGCTGGAGGCTCTGGAGCTGGTGTTGTCGACCCTAGAGTTGGAGACCCTGGAGCTAGAGGTGCCGGTTCTGGGGGTGCTGCTGCTGGAGGCCCTTGAGCTAGAGGCTCTGGAGCTGGTCCTGTCGACCCTGGAGTAGGAGACCCTGGAGCTGGAGGTGCCGGTTCCAGGGGTGCTGCTATTGGAGGCCTTGGGGCTGGAGGTTCTGGAGCTGCTGGAGGAGCTGGTGCTGCTGGTGCTCGCCCTGGAGGTGCTGGAGCTGCCGGAGCTGGTGGTGCTGCGGGCTTTGGAGCTGGAGGCACTGGCGCTGGAGGCGCTGGAGCTGGAGACCCTGGAGCTGGAGGTATTAGAGCTGGAGGCGCTGGAGCTAGAAGTGCTAGAGCTGGACGTTCTGCTGCTGCAAGAGGTGCTGGTGCTGGTGGTACTGGTGCTGGTGGTACTGCACAGCTGCGACTGTTCTTCGCTCCGCCGTCACTGTCGTCTCTGCCACCACCTGACTTCGTGCTTCGCCAGGTTCTTAGCCACCCGTCTTCTACTGGCCTCCCGTTACAGCCATGCTCTCCGCTCCCTGCTCCTTCTCCTTATACTGAGCAGACAGACTTGCTTACAGAGCGTCGTGAGCCTGCGTCTCGTCCTGCCTCACCTGTTCGCGCTGGTCGCACTGGTCGTCGTATTCCTCGTAAGCGTCCTCCTCCTGTCCCCGGCACGCACACTATGGCACTTCGTCCTTCCTCTGTTCCACAGCGTGTTCCCCTGCCGTCTCCTCCTGCGTCCTCTCTTCCGCGCGTTCCGGACCCTGAGTTTGACTTAGCTCGTGCTGCCAGCACTACTGTCACCCGTCTCCTGGCCACTGCTGTCACAAACCCTTCGTTTGCG